ATATAATATATCTTTTTCTTTTACAGGGAGCGCAAATAAAAGCAGAGCCAAAAGCAACAACAATGGAAACCGAAAAATAAAAGCGAAATAAATTGTACAAAGCTGGTGCACAAATTAACATAATTAAGCGGCGCGCATAGTGATCAAATGACAACGTGAGACCAACAACAACAACAGCAACAACAACAATAAGAGGTAGCTAAAAAAAAACGGAAAGCGGCAGCAACAATTATTACGAGCGTAAAAGGCCGAAATAGCGAAATACGAAAACACGAAAAATCGAAGAGACGGGATCATCAACACTATAAAATTCAAATGAGGCGACAACAACCATGAACACAGCAGCAATAACACCACCAGCACCAGCAACAACAACAACGACGGCAACTTAGGCATCTGTCAGAGACGAAAGCGAAATGTGCATCTTGAACGCCACACTAATGCGCTGCTCCACACAATCAATACACATCAGCAACAGCAACAACATTGACATCGACAACAACAACAACAACAACAACAGCAACAGCAATACAACATCTACCACAACAGCAGCTACAACAATTGCATAAGCCACAAAGCGATCCAAAGCGACGCCTCAAGCGACCCCATTTCAGCAAATCGCAATCTTTGCCCAGCTCGCTCGACCCTACGCGTAGGCACTCAGCCGGCAAGCTGCGAGCGTTTTACTCTGGTTATATTTTTCGTAGTCAGTCAGTCAGTTAGCCAGCCAGTCAGTCTTTGAGTGTATTTTCTTTTGCATTGCGCATACGCAACGTTAGCCGGCGTTAGCAGCAATGGATGTGCTGGAGCTGCTGCATCAACTTGGCCTGAACATATTTTGGATATTCAAGATCTATATTAAATTTGCACTAGTTACGCTCGTCGTCTACTTTGCTGCCGAGTGGTATATAGTGCGCTATGGGGCCGAGCTGGAGGATCAGCTGGACGCTCAGCTGGCGGCCAACGAGCGTCCGGCCTCGAACAGCACGTTGAGCAAAGTGTTTCGCTTCGTGTTGAACTTCTTTATCATCTAAAGAACTAGATATACCACCTGATATACACATATATATGTATATATAGATATAGATATATGTGTATAACTGATTCAAAAGCAAGGTCAAAACTCAACTCGAATTGGATATCGAATCCGAATTCGTATATGAATCGATTGCGGAATTGCAATTCGTTGCGGGCGCTTTGCTTTTGCTTTTGTTTTTGTTTTTGTCTTGTTTCTTTTTTTTTCGCCAAGGCCTGCAAGAGAATGTAAAACCCGATTTGTTGTCATAAGAAAAACAACAGCAAAGAAGTACACAAAGTGTATACATATTTATATGTACATATATAAAACAACAAATACATTCTTTTCCATGTAATTACGTAGTAACAATAAACAAACAAACGGGTTGAACGACTTTTTGCTCCTAAGAAAAACAATAAAAATTATTTTGAATGCATTTTGTTCTTACAAAAGAGACAGAAATCATTTCGTTTGTTTATTTTTTGGGTGGGGCTTATTGTGGTTACTCGAAAATTGGCACAAATGTAACGGTTAATTTTGATTCTTTTTTTTATACATGAAAACTCAATTGGGCTCGTGACTCGCGTCAGTCAGGCTTAAAATTTAAATAATTTCTTAATGCAAGTTGAATTTATATATTATATATATATCTGCCGATTTAATAAATTAGTTTCGATTTCTTAACAGCTTAGTTAAACATGTTTTGGCCTGACTAAAAACAGCTGCCGACAATTGCCAAACGCAAATTTGACTTGCAAAAATATTTGCCAAAAAAAAGTAGCTTAAAAATAGAAAAAATTATCAGAAAAAAATATTGAAAAAAACTTTAAAAAATTGAAAAATGTTGACTACGTTTTTGACAGTTAACAAAAATTAAAATAATGTTAATATACATATATGAAACTGTTCGACTCGCAGATACGCTGCATGAATCTGTGGATTATTTAAAAATTATGATTATATACTTTTTAGATAAATAATTTAAATAAAAAACTAAAGCAGGCTCAATCATAAAAAAAAAATAAATAAATATAAAAATAAAAATGAATTAATTAAAAATAAAATGAGTAAAATATGACTACATTTAACGATTTTGTTAAATATAATAAATTCGTAAAGATAACTGAGATACAATTAAAAAATTTATGAATAAAACTTAAGTTAAGCCAACATTTAATAGCTGCAATTATTATTAAACTTAAAGAGTTAGGTTCGCTATTAAAAACGTGATTATCCTATCAACATTTGATTTGCTATATGCGAGTTTTCGCATGTCTAAAAAATTGTAACAAATTTTGTTTATCAGAGCAGACATCAGAAGCAGCTGGGCGATTGGCAGCTGGAGGCAGCGGGCAGCCGACCAGGCTGAGAGCCGCTTAACAGTTACAACATGTACTAAAAAAACTGCAACAAGACTTGGATAGTATGGCACATACCGGTTCGGTTAGCCGACCCACACACACACACACGCACACACGGAGAGTCGACATATTGCACTCATTCTCAATAGCGAGCACACATACATAGAGCATAGGAAACAATTGCATGAATATGAGTAGGTGCTATTAATATAACATCAATTTAAGGCACAAGCCATGTATGTGTCTCTGTATGGTATGAGTGTATGTTTGTCTGTATGTGTGTCTATGCCTGTTGCTCCAATTTGAATACAGGCAACGACAGTCGCCATCAAATTCAACTTTCACATGCGCAGATGCAGTGCAACAGACTCCAAGTACTTTAGCTCTGTGACGTAACACACACACACAGACACATACACACACACACACACACACACACACACACACACAGAGTCAGTTAAATAAACTGCAGACACAGTCTTAAGTCGTTTGGCTGTTTAAAAGAGAGATATATAGGTATGTATATATGCCATAATCCCCAGTTAGCGCAGCAACAACAACAACAACAACAACTACTACTACTACAAAAGCCTTATGGGGAGCAGTTGTTGTGACCGTTGATTGATTTCATTATGAGCCGCTTGAAATGCTTCACATTATTTTGCATTCAGTCGATTTTAGATTTAGTCATTTAATATACGGGTCTGCCTCTGTGTGTGTGTATGAGTGTGTGTGTGTGAGTGTATGAGTGCTTATGCTTGTGCCTAACTAAAATTTAATTGTGCTCCGCACCATGCGGCGTATGCGCAATAATTCATGAGCCGTTTAAGCAATTTATGTGTCTCTGGACAACGTCCACGACTTATTGTGTTACGGTTGCTTTCTGTATGTGTGTGTGTGTGTGTGCATATCCATGACTAATAGCAGATGGCTTTGGCCTACGTTGGTTCATTAATTGAAATGCCCGACTCTCCTGTTGTTGTTGTTGTTGCTATTGTAGCTGCTGCTGCAATTTGTTGTGTTATTGTTATTATGTCATTGCGGTCACTCAGCAAATCAAACGGAAAGTATTCGAAATAAATTAACGAGCACATGAATATCAATTGTGTATCGTTAATAGATCAGTCACAATTAAACATACATAAAGTGCAATGCGGAAAAAGAGTATATGGGATGTAAAAAAAAGAGTATTTGAATATAGGAAACTGCAGCAAACGCTGTTAAACATATGCCAAGATTCCAAATAATGAACAATGAAAACAGAACTTTAAAAAAATAATAAAAACAATAATAATTTATCAATTTAAAAAAAAAAATACAAATACAAATTCTAATTCTCACTCAATAAATTTTGCAAGAAATTCAATAAATAAATTGTATAGAAAAAGAAACAAATTAATATTTATATATAGCTATACTAAAATCTTAATAAGCAAAACCTGTTAAGCTGCTTATGAGATAAAAACAAGCGACTAAACAGCAAATGCTGCAAACTAAACTCAACAGCAAAAGCTAAACAAACAGTAAAAGCAAAAGCAAAAACAAAACAAACTACAAACTATTGCAGAATGTGAAGGAAAAACTGTAACAAAAACTGCTACACAAAGAAAAGCTTTGGCTTAAGCTTAAGCTCGAGCGCTCTCTCAAGCAGCGGCTGCGCACGCTCTCAGTTACGCGCTCTCTCCGTCTCTCTCTCTTGCTCGGTACAGCTCGTTCGGCTGAGCGCATGCGCAGTTGCCGATGTCGTTGTCGTTGTCGCTGTCGTTGCCTTTGCTGTAGCGGCCAAGCGGCAAGAAACCAGTTTCCAAGACATGCGACTGGAAATCAAATTAGCGAGCTAAAAAGCTTCGTTTCGTTACCAAAAAGACGATTTTATGCCAACGCAAAGTTGGCCAACAATCTGCAATTTCAGTCTGCAAACGGTCAGCCAGGTGAACGGCAGCCAAGACAGGTTGGCAACAGTAAGTGGGCGTGGCTAAGCAACGCTGCGCATGCGCTGCGTTCGCACAAGTGTATCTATGTGTGTGCGTTTCTGTGTGGCTGTGTGTGTGTGCGTGTTTAGCATTGTGTTGTAAAAAATTATATAAAATTTATATGACCAAACAAAAGTTTTGCATGCAAATTGATAGTGGTTGATGATAAAATTAATTTTCGTCAAAAAAATATATATGTAATCAAATTAAACGCAATCATAAACGCCTTTGGGCATAAGTGTTAAATGCAGCTGTATTGGTGTGAAAAACTAATGCGCAAGTGTCGTAATACCCTCAGAGTTTTCAATGAGAAAGCACTAAAAACTAAAGTTGAAAATTAAAGTAAAAAACAGAAAATAGTTAATCTAACGAGTGTGTTAAAAATATAAAAAAAATACACACACACATAAAATTAAAAACAACAATAATAATTTTCACAAGTGCACGCACACTATGCAATAAAACTGCAATGCACGCACACACATACATATGCAGGCATATGTTAGTCCCTCCCTCTCTCTCTCTCTCTCTGCCTCTCTCTCTCTCTTTCAGTTGTGTGCGTGTGTTTTGCAGTTTATTGTATAAAATTTTCCATTTTATGCTGCATTTTTAGCAAAAATATAAATGTATATATTGAAAATTTATTAAAAAACTAAAAACAAGTTTTGGATTATTTGAAAAAAAAAAAAAAAAAAACATACAAATATTTTGCTAATTTTAAGGTAAGCCATGTGTCTCTATTTGAAATATTATGCAGCATCTTTTTTAGCCCAGCAGCCTCTTCAAAGCTCATGGCCAAAACTCTTGGCAAAACTTTGCAAAATTATCTCAAGCGTTGCTAATTATTTGCCATGTACAACTTTTGCTGCAGTTGTTGTTGTTGTTGCTGTTTGCTGTTGGCTCAAAACACAACCAACATATTGTTGGTGTTGCTGTAGCATTACTTGCTGAAAATACACAAACAATTGCCATCATTTGTTTATACACAATTTGTTGCTTTTTTATCTGTGGCGGGCGCATCTCTTTGCCAAAGAGCCCAAACAAAACATCGCCGATTTTACTTTCATCAACAGCTACAGTAAACACAACAACAACAACAACAACAGCAACAATAGCAACAACCGCAACAACAACAGTTACAGCAAACAAATTTTTAAATTTTACTTTCATTCATCTGCGACCAAGCGTATGCGAACATTATTTTTATTTTTTATACATTATTTTATTTTATTTTTTATGTGTTTATAAATTTTATTTTTTTTATTATTTTATTTTTATATACTTATATATATACATTATTTTTTCTCTTGTTTTGTAATTTCTTCAAGCACTTTAGTGCTCATTTTTTCCATTACGCCCAGTTTTCCTAGCACTTAAATTTTTGTTGATTACTGGGAAACACCTAAAAGGCCTTTTAGATGCGTGTGAAACGGAGATTTCTCATTGAGCTGATGCTGCTCTCTTTTATTTCTGTCTCACCTTTTTTTTTTTGCATATGCTCCAACGACTTTACTCGAATAAATCGCAACCGGAATCGGCGATTAGCTTATTTGGCCATAACAAAAACAAAAAGTAAAATAACAACAACAATTGACAAGCACACAGATTGAAACTGAAAACTGATTTTCCAAAAAGAAAACTTCGGTTTCACTTGCCACTCGCAAACGCGAGCGAACGCATTCAAAAGTTGTGAAGATGAGAGCAAACTGAAAATCATGTTGATATACATACACATATATCATTAAACTTTGATGAAGTGTGATATTTATTTTATATTTTTGAAATATGTAATACAAAAATTTACATATTTTTCATGTTTATATTTGGCAGTAAGCACTTCTGGTAATAGAAATAGTTGCAAGCATTATCATATTCATTAGCATATAATAATATTCTGTAGGAAGAACATTCTGATTAGAATCCATATTAATGAGCCGTAGACATGCTATGCGTTTTTAAGGTCAGAATTATAAAAACGTCAAGGTCTTATATTATATATGCTTTTTTTTTTCAAGAAAATATTTAAGTAGGTAAATTACATATATACTTTTATATACTAAACATAGATACTATTGTTAAGAAACGACCAAGATTTATGGCTTAGCATTGTGAACTTGATCTATCGCCATAGGAAAAATATCTCTTGGCAATAAAAAAGTTGCTTTCAGTCAAGTTTAAAGTGTTATTATAGGTTTCTAATTAATCATCGTTAAGCTATTGAGATTAAGTGCTGATGCATGCCTCTTAGATCTCTATCAAATAACTTGTGATAGTTGTACTTGAGCTACTCCCATACGCAGTTGGCAACAAGTGAGCGATAGAGTTTAATTGTCATAAACTAATCTTGGCAATCTGCCCAAAATCGATTCACGCTGACAAATGGCTCTACAAAGGGCAATTAGCTAAGCCCACATTAATATTGTATAATAGCATGCTAAACAGATCGAAGAAAACAAAAACAAAAACTGCACCACAAAATTCAACAGAAACACGAAAACCACAACAGCTGAGGTGACCTTGAAAGCAAAACACAAAAAATACAACTAAAAAAAAAAAGTCAAATGAAAAGTCCAAACACCGAACGGAGATGCTAATTTTTTGATGACAACGCAGCAGCTCGAGTCAGAGTTTGGAACCGGCATCTATTGAAGATCAGCAGCGCTCCTCGAAGAGGCAACCGGTTGACTCGACTTGATGCATAAATTAAAATATATATATAGTATATATATATAGTATTATCAAGCCAAAATAAAAAGGAAAAACTGTGTAGCGAAACCAGTTGCTGACGTCGCTGCGACGACACATTTCACAGAAATTTTGTGGACTGCTCGCATTAGAAATGCAAATGAAAACGAGAGCTCTTTTTGTCATCCGAAATATAGGGTATAGTCACTCTATATATATATATACATAGTGTATATATATAGAGTATATATAACTGGCAGCTCCAGACGAAAGTCTGCGGCCTTTGCAATAATATATAAATTTCTGTATTCTGATTGTGCATTGTCTCTGACTGCGACTGTGACTGTGACTCTAACTGTGACTGCGACCTTAGCCCAGCCGCCTGCAGCTCTGCCTCCCCTAGCATCACTATGTTCATTGTCTCTGTCTAGCTAATATTTTAATTAGTTAACGTCATTTGCCAAAATCAACTTGAATAAAAACGGAGAAAAAAAAAATAGACAGAGAACAAATATTTATAGAAAAAACCCACACACGCACAATCACAGATTTTATTGCTAAATTATGTGAAAACTCAACAAATTTGAGTTTTGAGATTATTTTTCTGCCAATTTGCACAATTTCAAGGCACTCGCGCTCATAAAAAGCCCCTAAAGAAAACTATAAAATTAGATAATTCACAGAAATAGAAATAGAATGGATATAATAAATAGTTTCACAGAAATAAAAACTAAAATTTAATTTAATTAAATTCACATTTGTTAACTTCCTGTGATACATAAATTGGTTCTTTAATATTTCCGAAGATCTACTGCACAAGCTTTGACTCTGATTGCAGCACAGGTTCATTTTTGTGTTTCCCTTCACATCAGCAGCAATTATAGATGTTACTAAATAGGCAGCTGTGACTGTGATGAAAATTGTGACTATGTTGTAGCTCTTATAAATAAATTAGCCAAATTATATTTTAGTCATTAGCTAAAAACAAGCACACACACAGACAGTCACTCATAGCAGCTGAAGCTATTGCTGAAACTGCTACTGTGAATGAAACTGTGATCGTAGCTGCGACTGCGACAGCGACTGAAGCTGTTATTAATCAGATGACAACAATAAATTCTTATGCTGACTAATTGCATACATATATATTTTACCTATATAAGTGTATATAAAATTGCTCTACTTTAGACAGCATAAAACAATAAAATTATAGCTATTACAGTGACTATGACTATAACTGTGACTGCTACTGCCACTTGCCTGCCCATCATCAATAATTTGTTAAATTGAAGACAAACGAAAAGCAAAGACAATAACAGCTCCAGCAACAGCTCCAACAACAACAACAACAGCAACAACAATTTTACCGGTATTCGTGTGTTTGTAAGCGATCGTGCTTAGCCTTGAATTTGAACTTGGCTAAAAGGCAATTCAACAGCACGGAATCTTCGAGGCATATCAATACAAGTCAGCGACATCCACACAGACAGACAGAAAGCCGCGCTTAATGGTGGGCCGTAAAAAATTAGATGCTCATCTTATTATTATTGTCATTTGCGGCAAACAATGGCCAGATATTAATATATAGTATTGTTTATGGCAACACAAAGTGCGGCCAATATAAGGGAATCAGCAGAATTAAAGATAAGCCATAAATTAATAATTTAACTTGTTTAGTATGCCCATATATCATACCATAACATAAAAGTCGAAACGCGCTTGACCTTAGATATTTGGAATGAGAGATGGAGTACTTATTACATATATGGAACAGAGAGAGAGATAGAGATCGAGAGAGGGAGACAGAGAGAGAGAGGGAGTGAGAGAGAGAGAGAGTGAGAACAGTAAAGCGAGCTTAAATGCCAACCATAACTTGATTATCTATAATAATATATATAAAATATCTTGATTATCTATAATGTCTGCTCATTAAATTATTTTATTATCAACGATTTTAATTCCCAGCTTTATTCTGCTTGAACGCTGCGTAGCTGAACCCTTTGACATTTAAAAAATGTATACAAGCCTGCATCATGTTGTTGGAGGTTGCATGAAAAGAACCAGTTGGCTGCATTCGGCTATTATCATCATTTGTCACATATTTATCTAAACTTAAGCTCAAAATGTCAGAAACTGCAAACACGCAGCTGGAGACATCGTCAAGAGACATCATCATAAGCAACAACAACAAACACCAAGAAACCAAAAACAAAAAAACAAAAAATCTACTTAAAATGCGCGACACATTATTTTTGTGGAGCGGGGTGTGAACGGCAAAATCTTTGAACTCCGTCGCATTGGTAAAGCACACCAAAAGAAGAAGAAAACGACAGACGATAAACGACAGACGCCAGCGACATACAAAACAATGAAAAACAAAATTGTGCCATGAATAACTGAAAGGCTGAGCAGCTGCGCGGCTGAAGCTACAAAAATCCATTACCTAGAGCAATTCCATTGAAGCTTCCTCTTTGCCAAAAAGTGAAGAAAGAAAAACCAAAATAAACAATCAGACGTCGCGTTGCGCTGTCTGACATTTCGAAATGCGCATACGCCCCGTTAAACGAATGGCTAATCAAATTCAAGGAAAATCAATAAACAATGCATAATAAAACTATTATCCGTTATATATATCTGCACCATCTGCATATATATGTATGCATGCAAACAATGCCAAACTGACGAATTACAATGCTCCAATGAACCTTTCGATTTGTATCACTAAGCTAAACCCGCCTCTCTTACTCTATCTGTCTCTCCCTCTCTCTCACTGATTTTGCAATAAATCAGCTGCAAGTGTTTGGCAGCTTGGAATTTGCAGTGAATATATATATATAGTATATATGTATGTATACTATGCTTAAATGATATCAATATAAATAATTAAAGCACTTACTTTTTATGGCAGCTGCCGCTTTTGAAATTTTGATTTTTGCTTTTGATTTTGCTTTTGCTTTTGATTTTGGCTTTTCTTTCATATAAATATATGTATATATCTACATAGATATATTTGCACAGCCAATTAAAACGCATTGAAAATGAAAGTGTTGCCGCATTGTAATTGTAATCTATTGTTCACTTTTCAATTTGATATAGTTATGCATTGCCCGACTGTCTGTTCGTCTGCCCCTCTCTCTCTCTCTCTCTCTCTCTCTTTCTGCCCATCTGTCTTGCTCTGTATTTGCTTTTGTTGTTACCCTTTCGCTGTGCTTTACGTAAGTGACATTGAAGGCAGCGGCTAATTATGCAATTACTAACTACTTCAACTGAATCAAAGTGTTTAAATTAACGGAAATTCAACGGAAATAAAAGCGAAGCAAAAGCGTTTAAGTCTATCATAAATTGAAATTCATAAAAAACTGCAAAATGTGCAGTCATTCCATTTATTTACTTTTTTTATTTCATTAAACATAAATTTATAGGCATTTAGTTTTGTTACCAAAATAAAAATATTTGTTTTAAATGCTTTTATTAGCCAATAAGAGAGTACTACCAAATGCCAAATTGCCAAAAAAGCTGCAGAGTAAATATTATTAAACTTAAATTCAGCTTAAGGTGAGCAAGAAAACTTTTTATAAGTTAGGTTTTCTACATTTCTGATCAAAGAGCAAACCATAAATATTTTAAATCATAAACGAAAAAATATATATATTTAAATATATATTTAAGTTTGTAAGCGAAATACATGRCTAAGTATATCTACTAAACAATTATGGAATTCAACGTAAAGCAGTTTCACTTCTTCCATTTTCATCGTTTAGCCATAAAGACGAAGCATATAAAATCAGACGATTTGAATGTCTAGAATACTTTCTATAGCCATATTCAGATATATATATATTCATATACTCATGTATGCTAAGTTCAGAAATCAATTGACTGAATGACTGCCGAGCAGCTGCAAAAGTAACGTTAATCAATATATACATATATATATGTGTGTAATGCAGTTAGGTATAGCTCCGAAAAAAATCAGAAATACTTGAGAATTGCGTGCCGAAACTGTTAAGTGAAGAACCCAACGGAATCGAGAGGCATTTCTTTTCTTTTCATTTTATCGTTCAGTGACTCTTTTAAAGCATAAATCTTTGACCAAGTACATGGTTATGACTATGAGTGTGAGTGTGTGTGTGTTTATTTGTGTGGGCGTGTTAATTGGCAAATTCTCGCATTTTTGTTACAACACTTTGTGTTTTTCCTTTTGCTTCATTTCTTTTTCTTTCTTTGTGGAATTTACATAATAATGTTATTATATTTGTTTCTTTGTTTTATTTCTGTTCAAAGCATACCAAAGCGGAAAATATAAATACAACAGCCACTGAAGAGTCGTCATAATGAAGAGAGCCACAAGCTGGCTGATCATAACAGCGACAGGTGAGTCGAGCCGAGTTGCTCAAGGAAAGGTTGCATTAACTAAATTGTTGTCCCGAACTGGATTATGGAACAGCAGCAGCARCTGCTGCTGCTCTGATATAATTCAGGCACAAAAACTGCTTCGCTTATGCAATTAAACAAAAAAACCAGCTATAATTTAACACATTTATTTCTTGTTTTTTATGGCCAGTGCTGTTATTGGGTCTGCTCAGCTCTGCGGATGCTGCGCTGCCCTTCAAAAAGGTTTCCATTGCCAAAACTCCCGCCTCTACAACCACAAGCACAACGACCACCACAACGACTCCAGAGCCTGTCACAGAGAAGGAGGAGCCGCCCACTGCTGAGGGCGAGGAGGGCAAGGTGAGCACTGCATAGCACTCTCATGGCTTCAGATCGGCAATGAAACTTCTCTAATTTGCAGTCGGAAAATGGCACGATCTCAAAGAGAAAACTAACGGGCATACCCCAAATCGATTATGTCTGGGATCCAAATCTGCCGAGGGAGCTGAGAGGGTGAGTTTACACAACATATAAATAAACAGAATGTTTTTCGTAAGGAAACCGTAAATAACAATTTTTTGTGTACTTATTTTTTTTTTTTTTTCTTGAATGCAGCTACAATCTCTCGACCTATCCTTTCTTGTCCTCCGTTCCGCCCATGGATGAGATCCACTTTAAGTGCGAGGGTCTACACGATGGCTTCTATGCCTCCATCGAGTACAAATGTCAGGTGAGTGAATTCGTCAATGATAAATTACTCAAATAAGACTCTTAGGTAAATGCTCTTCTAAGAAATTTTCAGGTAATGCATAATTTAGTGAACAGAAGTGAGAAGCAATGTTCTGATTTTCATTCTCCCATATTTAATTTCATTTTCCATCCGTCTCAGATTTGCCATCGTTCCTCATGTTATTAGTCTTCCCACTCTGTCCCTTTCCATACGACTCTTGCTTTGCTCTCATTATGCATATATGCATACAAAGCTCTCGTCTCCTATATTTTTCGTGGAATAGTTCTTATTCCGTAGCCGCCCATTAAAACCTTCAAATCTCACTAATACTCGAAGAATATCACATAATAATCTGTAACTAACCGACTATAAAATATTCCCTAAGTAAAGGGTCACTGGGGCCAGCCAAATTATATGTTTTGCTAACTATGTTATGTGTCGGTTGACCTTGTGTTCACAGTAGCGCAACGGGGAATGCGGTCTGGGGACTGGGGCTGGGGAATGTAGGAGGCGACGTTATCCAATTGGCCAAGTTGAACAGCCAGCTACCACGTAACTCGTGTCCAGTAATTTCTCTTTTAGCCGCCGTCGTGTGGCTTACGTGCCCAGAGGCGAAGCCAAGAAAGAAAAACATTACAAAAATAATGATAATAAAAAAAACTTGTCTGCGTGTCGATCTTGACCTCAAAATGAATTTTGTTTGCCTGGCAAAGAGACGTTAAACAGACTTTATTCACACCTCCAGTGGGAGTACCTGATTCAGTTGTACGCAAATTACACACTAACAGCTCTCCCAACTATTCACAGATCTATCATCATTGCGTCTATGGTATACGACACGATTTCCTTTGCGCCAATTTCACGGCCTTCGATCAGCGCACCTTCATTTGTCACTTTGCCTCCGACGTGGACTGCGAGGGCTCGCAAAAGTATTGGAACAGGTGAGTGCGAAGCACAGGTGACCTGCTTAGCGCACCGTGACTAACTGAAGTTGTTGCCCCATCGCGCAGAAACGATGAGCTGTATATGGCCACCACTACGTCTTCGACGAGTACCACCACAACGGAGCCACCACCGCCACCACCGCCGCCGCCCAGACGTCGAGGTCAACGTCCCTACCATCGGCCCTACAACCGCCGGCCCGTGGATGACTATTACTATGACGAGACTGACGATGAGTACTACGATGATCGCTATAGTCGTCGCAATCCACGTCCCCGCCCACGCAAGCCACAGCTGGACTACGACGATGAGTACGATGAGAAGCCGCTGCGACACAATCGCAATCGGTACAGGGACGAGGAAGATCTAATAGACGAGGACTACGAAGATCGTCGTAATAGACCTGGCGGCCGTCGAGGAAAGCCCCCAGCGGGCGCAGTCGGACGTGGTAAGGCAGTGCCCCGCAAGCCCGGACGAGTGGATGAGCGTCGCAGCTTCAGTGAGGATCGCGATGCAGAGGAACCACGTCGTGCGGCTGGCAGACGGCGCAGCAGCGATAAGCGCCCGACGCCCTCGACAACAGCTGTGTTGGACGAGCTCGATGAGTACGAGAAGCCTTACGAGCTGGATCAGGAGGAGGCAGCCGAGGAGCAGACTCCACAAAAAGTAAAAACCACGCCCAAGCCGCTGGCCGAGTTCGTCACGCCGAAAGCAGCGGCTTCCTCTGTCTACGCCCGTCCACGTGCCCCACCCCGCATAGCCCGTCCCGTGCCCGTCAACGAGAAGAAGAAGTACTCCTATCCAGTGCAGAAGAACACGGCGACTACGCCAGCTTCAGCTGGTAACGAGCAGGAGGACGACGATTACTATCAAGATCGTGAGCAGCAGGAGGATGACTATGAGCAACCCGTACAGCCAGCGCGCTCTGCCTCTCGTCGACGCACTGCAGCGCCCAAAGAGCAGAAGCCCACGCGCTCCACGCTGCGCAAGCCGGTCACAGACAAGAAAACCCTGCTGGATCTAGAAGAGGACTACGAGGCGGAGCAGAGGGAGGCGCCACGGCGCAAGCGTCCGCAAGCCATCAGAGCGCGTGTTCCACCTGCCGATGTGGACTTTGTGGATGATGTGGACTACGAGGAGCGACCAGTGCCTGTACGAGGTCGCGTGCGTGCCAAAGCAGGAGTAGCACGTAAGCCCGTCGCGCGTCCACGCCAGCCCATTGTCCACGAAGAGGAAGAGGAGCTGCTGGAGCCCGTCAGCGAGGAGCTGTCGGAGCAGCAGCGTGCTCCTGCAGCGCGCACCAAGTCCAACTCCTTGGCGAGCTTAACTCCGGCGCGTCGCAATCAGAAACTGGCGTTGGCCGCGCGTCAGCGTGCGCTGCCAACCTCCACGACAACAGCAGCACCAGCCCTGGAAGAGGAGCTTGCCGAGGAGGAGCCAGTGCAGGCGGAGAATGAAGAGCCTGATGAGCCACTGGCGCCCGCAGCACCACCCAAACACCTGCGACCCGCTTCGGTACGTGTGGTCAAGCGACCCTTCCTGCCGTCGCGTGGCGGCAGCCCCTATTTGCCGCGTGGCCTGCAGCCGGTGGGTGTGGCAGTGCGAACGGGCCAGCTAGCCAATGAGGCGCGCACCACAGACAGCACGCCCATTGACATGGGCTCGACCATATCGGGCGTGCGCCTGCTGGAGCATGGAGCTCCACTGCTGCGCGGCGAACAGCCAGACAGCGATAGTGATGAGCTGCCGGCACCGTCGCCCAACCCACCGCGCACCACATTGCCGCCACGCAGTGCATTGCCCACGCCGGTAACGCCGCGTCGCCCCGAGCCACCACAGCCGGTCAAGCTCAATCTGGACGAACTCTATGAGAACGACTACGATGTGACGCTGAACGATGCGCTCGATCCCACGCTTAAACCGCTTACGCCACTGCATCCACATCAACAGCATCAGCATGCCAACTATCAGAGCCGGCCCTATGCCAGTGCGTATTCAGCACCTGCACATGGTAGCGGGTCGTATAATCCATTTGCCGGCCATGCCAGTGGCAACAGCAACTATCAGCAGGCATCCATCTATCAGAATCATTCGCCGTCATCATCCATTGCATCCGCTTCGCAGTCTCAGTCACTGTCACAGTCACCGTCACAGTCACAGTCACAGTCGCAGTCACAGTCGCAATCGCCACCGAACTATCATAGTGATTCCTATTTCTCATCGACAGATATACGCCGGCGAGCGATTGTCCCGGCGCAGAACGCGCGTTCACATAGACACGAATACGCTGCCCGAGGAGCAGTGAGTGGCGCCCAAGTGGGCACACGACTTGCCCAGCATTACTACGATGAGTTTGCATATTAGAGTCGCGGTTACAAGTCTGTGAAAAACTAAGGTACATCACATTGTGGATCTACGCATGCGAATACAATCTAATATATGTATACCCGTATGTCTACTTTCAGTTTCTTCAGCTGTATATAACTTTCAACAACTAGAAGGCAGATCGGTTGCCCAGGCAACTGCTTTTCTACACTATCTTTTACGCTATCTAATTATAATATATTTTTTCTCTAGTTAAAGTTCAAGCAGGCATCATTTTATCAACTCAATTTGCGCTTAACTTTCTACATGAAACAAACAAAAGAAAACAAAAACACTAAATTTAATAATATACACATTGTATAATACTCAATTGTCGTGATAGTAGCCGAGACAAAAGGTAATCTTCAAATTTTGTCTGCTAATTTTTATGTAGTACACAAACAACAAAACAATTCAACATTATGAACAACAAACAAGAAACATCAACAATCAACGTGAACAGCCTCTGCGCTTAGCTAAATACTCGGACAAGAAAATTAAAACAAATTAATTTAAATTTAGTATGCAAGACAACATTTTGTGTGCGTGTTAATATTTAAGCTGTATTCTAGGCTCAAGTCGAGTGCTTAAACAAAATTAAAGATATGAAACAAAACAACTAAAAACTAAATGAGTTCCCAAATCTTATTTACATTGAACTTTATTGCGCTTCGCTGGTACAGAGGCAGCTCTTCAGAGCCTCCGTTGCCTCCTCCAAATGGTCAAGCTTCTTCATAAGAATTATCTGGGCACAAATATATTATTTAGCTATGATTAAAGTAGGTATAATTGGACTTACCTTGGCAGCTGATATTATTTCGTTGGCCACCTTAAGTGGCATGAATTCCACAGCTTTCACCAGCTCGAACGGTCGTGTCTTGGCCACATCTTCGATGGTTCTAAAGCCAGCGGCATAAAGCTGCTTGGCGCGATTCTAACAAATACAGCAGAGTTACAACACATAATATGGCTCAATGTTCCGAAGCACTCACAATCTTTACAGCGGGCAGCTCGAGCAGTGGTTCCAGTTCCTGCGTGCCACAGCGATCCATTTTATGATTGATGCGCTCGAACAGAGGCTTGAAGCACCAGAACTCGTCAATTTGCTCGCACAGACGAACGATGGCACTGGCTGCTGCGGTGCTTTGGCTGATCAGCTGCTGCAGCGTTCCACGCTCTACATTGTACTTGCTGGCGATGCTGGGCAGAGGATGTAGGCTGAGCACATCAGCTAAAATGAGCACTTTGTAGAGGCGATTCAATTGCAGTGCCAATGGACCCTGCACGGACTGCGTCTTGGCTAGCTTAGCGGCATGCGCTTCCGTAAAGCCCAGCTGCTTGAAAAGCGCCTGAGTCTGGGCTGGAAGTAAATTGTACTCGCGGAAGAGTATGGACGCATCGGCAGGTATCAGCTCATCGCCACGCTCATTTGAATTGAAGCACACGACCAAATACAGCAGATGCACATAGCTGGTGAGAATGAGCTGCTGTTGCGCCAGCTGCAGTTCCTTGTGTATGGCAAAGGTACGTTTGTAGTCTATGCCCGCCTTGAAGGCGGCGCGACCAATGCTGGTCAGCTGAAAGCGCGTAGATTGACTAATGAGCAAGCGACGATCGGGCGCCGAGCGACCGCTCTGGTTAATGTCTTGCGTGGTCATTATGTCCGAGCTGTTGGGCTTGCTCTTGGGCGCACTCTCTCTTAGTTGCAGCACTTTGTTTTTAAACATATCACGCAGAATGCGCAGCACCAGCTCATCCACAGCAACTTCCAAGGCGGCGGCCTGCACGGCTAACAAAGTGCTGTTCACTAGCCGATTGAGATCGCGTCTGCAGTCAGCAAGGTTCAGGCCAATGACGCTCAGTATTAGAGACTAGAAATAAGCTTAGCTAATAGAAGAATTCGAATAACAGATTGCATAGCCATACCTGCAAGCCAACAGCTTCGAACTGATCCAGCGAACTCAGTGCCTTGTCCATGGGAGAGAAGAGCATCTGGCCAACCAGAGCATTGTCCTTGCTCTGGGTAATGAGAATACTTTCACCAGCTTCACCAAGACCAGCACGACCTGCCCGTCCGACCATTTGCTTGTACTTGCACAACGTCATGAACTCTTGACCCACATAGGGCGCACGAATGATTACACGCTTGGCTGGCAGATTGACACCCGCAGCCAGCGTGGAGGTGCAGCAAATGACTGTGATGACGCCAAACCGATATGCAGTTTCAATATATTTGCGCTCGTCCGTGGTGAGGCCAGAATGATGATAGGCAATGCCATACGGCAATGTTTTGGCCAGCACCGGACTTAGAATGCCACACATCTTGTCCAGAGCGTTCATGAGATCAGCTTTTTCGCTCTGCCGATGCTCAAAGAACTTTTGCTTGGGCACAATGCGGCTTAGTAGCAGCGCTACATTCTCACAGTTTTTGCGCGTGGGACAAAAAACCAGACAGCAATGCTCCGGAGCACATTCGGTTATCAAGCCAGCCAAATGATCAGGATCGGCACGCTCCACAGCAGCGCTGTACTGTAAAAGAGTAAAATTATAAAATATTTATGGTAGAGAGAAGCCACATTCCTACATTGTAGTTAACCGTGCGACTAGGCACAAAAATCTCCTCAACCGTTTGTCCAGCTGAATTGATTTCCAGCAAATCATTTCCACATTTAATGAATTCCTTAAGCTCCACCGGACGAAAGCCCCGCGTATACACATCCGCATTGAGAAAAGATGAGATTTCATTCAGATTGCCAATGGTGGCGCTCATGCCGACAATTTGAATGTTGGCTAAATTCGGAACAAAGTAGTATACTTATTACTTGAATACTTATCTCTCTGTGAATACCTTTCAAAAACATGATCTTCGTTAGGAAAGCCTCTAGTGTCGCACCGCGTCCGCGTTCGCCAATCAAATGCAGCTCATCAACAACTACCATGCCGATTTCATGTGCCCTTTGCGCATCGATCAGACTGTCCATTAGAACGGCGCCCTTCTCGATAGATGCTACAAACAGGCTGCGTCGCTTGCGTTGCGGCTGTGGCGGGCATTTGCCCTTGCCCGCCGTGTACTCATCCACAATGAAGTCGAGTGCAATGGCAAAAGGTGACATTGCGCTCACCTTCTCCTGCACGATGGACACATATGGCAATATGAAGAGGACATTGCGTTCCCGGCAAAGCAGCTCGCGCAACATTAGGATTTCGGCAACCAAAGTCTTGCCACCGCTAGTGGGCAAAGCATAAATAAGATTCTTACGCTTGTGTATGGCAGGCAGATTCAAACATTCATCCTGCCATTCTGAAAGAATTTTAGTATTAGCTGTAGCATGCCATGAACAACTTACTCACCATATAAACTTTTGATGCCCTTGTGCTCGAATATTAACTTCTTCACCTTATCCGGCAGTCCATAAAAATCTCCTTTACTGGGAAAGCTGTTGTTGTGCTCTTCCTTAGAGGTTTCGAATTCGGAAAACGCCTGCGTCTGCCAGTCCAACTGATCGAGCGCTGCAATTTCTTGCTGTGCCTGTAGCATGGAACGGTTCTGTAGCGCTTCATATGTTGCATACTGTGTGCCCTGCACAATACCTTCCAAAATGGACTTGGATATGAAGGACATTGACATGGAGTCTTCTTTGGTTTGAGTAGCGGGTATTTGTAGTCGATCTGGAGATTTGGGAACTTTAAAAGCCACTGCGTCCATAAAAAGTTGTGTATTTTGTACAAGAGGGTCGCTATAATCATCACCACCATGGAAAATATTCTCCATTTCAGTAACTGTCAGGTCATTGAGATTGATCTCTTTGAAGCTCTGCTCTTTTATGCTGTTCTTTTCTTCAGTCTTCGCCGCCACCTGCGCTGTTTCGTCTGAACTGGGCATTGAAATATCACCAAAGAGACTGTCATCCGACTGGCTCTGATGAAACTTATTGCTGGTTTGACTACTGAAAGGTGCAGATACGACATTATTTTGTCCACTAAACAAATCCTCCAACTTTGCATTTGAAAAGAAACTGGCATCATTGTCCGGCCAAAATATACTCTCGCTCATTTCCATGCTTTGTTCGGGTCTATTATGGTCGACACAAACTCGTTTAATAGGCACATTATGTTCTGGTGTTGAGCCTTTGCTTGTAAATTTCCTTTTGGACATTGTATAAAGAAAACATTACTCAAATGCAACGCGCCAAAAAGTGTAAGGCAGCTGATTTTCCACATGATAGTGGTGCCACTAAGATTCCCAAATGCACTAGTATTTTATACAATTGATGGTATTTTTTCGATATTTTGCCTAATTTTAAGTCCAGAGAAAATCGAAACTCCTAGAATTTTATTTCATGTGGCATATGGTCACACTTATAATATCAGTTTTCATATTGTTGAGCGCAGAAGTTTTTGCATTGCAGTTTTGCATATATTCTGATTCCCAATTCTCTTCAATGTACTTCCGGAATGGCTGCGCAATGCAGTTATTGGTACTTGGAGCACGTCAGCACCGGCAAAAAATTAATTCTGCAGTCTGGCGACAATTTAGTAGGCAGGCACTCGTGTTGCAAGATTGTCTTAAAGGATTATGATTTTTTGTCTCGACAGCATGCGAAATTTATTATAAATAGTGAAAATATCGTGAGTGTGGAGCAGTTGGTAAGTTGTCTATTTTATGTACAAGTATAAACTATTTATAATAATTATTTCATATTCATCATTGCAAGAATGCGTTAAATGGCATCTTTATAAATGAAATTAAGCTCGAAGTCAAGATTCAATCGCTTACGTCCGGCGATAGAATCGGCCTTGGGGTACAAGTTGAGTCCTTGGATGCTGTGGTTCCCCCGAACTATGCCATATTTCATTTAAAACAAATGTGTCCCAATGCTGCCGATATTGTCATCATATCAGATGAGGAAGACATTGATCTGACACCGCCCAGAATTGTCCCAAAAATGGTCAACAATAATAATGGGGACGCCTCTGAATTGCAAAAGCCAGAGGCTAGCAATGTTGAAGGCTCTACTGATGAATGCACCTCAAATGCAACTACAAATCGCCCAATACATTTGCCAAAGCTGCCAGAAGTGAAGCAGGAGTTACTCTCTCAGGCAACCAAAGAGATTGAAAACATATTCGGCGAGCCCGATGAGGAACTGCTTGAATCGGTGTTTCAAATTAATCCTTATGTCTACAAACAGCTAAACAACAATAACATTGCGCCATCTGGTGGTAAAATACATGATGGCGATGTAATTGAGCTGCCCGAAGAGGTTAACTCGCCACAACTAAAGGAGAATTTCCAAAATCCAGACATGCCTCCTCCTAAATTGTCTTCCGCATCAGACAAGATATCAAAAGATGATAAGATAATTGTAGATGACAACGAGGATGACTATGATGAGAATTTTGAACTGTCCCAAGCTGTTTTGCGCGAAATGAAAGAAGAAATGGCGGATAGTCTGCATGAGGACTGTGACAGCGAACAGGAAGAAGATTTTCAGCCAGCTGCGCCGTGGGTTAAATCAGAGATAGCCACAAAAATTGATGACGATGAAATTATAGTCATTGAGGATGAAGACGATGAACTCTATAGCAAAGTGGCGGATTGGTCATCCAAACTGCTTACCCAAAATATAATGTCCCAGGTATATCCACTAGATGATGAAAAGGACTTAGATGACGTCAATAATGAGGTAGACAAAATCAAAGAGGACAATAATGTCGAGGAACAGGCTGTGAAGTTATTAAATGATAATAGTGATACTGATACCGACAATTTTACCCAGCATCCGCTTTTGATGAGACGCAGATCCAAAGCGCTGCGAATTGAAAGCAGTGAAGATGAGTCTCCAGGTAAATAAGATCTTTACTTATTTCTGCAATATTTTCAAATCGTTTTCTTTCAGACGACAGCAACATCATAGACAAATCCTTTCCTACTCAAGATGAAAAAGACGAGGAAAATAATATGCAGGAACTGGAAGTGGTTTTGGTGCCATTTGCTAGTGTTCCAGATAACGAAATAGATACCAAAAAAGGAAAAAAGAAGTCCACACCACGCAAACGTAAAAAAACAGTTTCAGAACGCTCTCAGGGCAACAAGGTGCCAGTTCCATTGTCTTCTCCTACACGATCTTCAGCTCCAGAACCAAAAACACCTGTAGCCAGTCCAACAGCATCTTCATCTGCAGATCTCAAGACACCTGAGAAGTATCGCAGCCCACGCATGTTAAACAGATCCAAATCCTGTTATGCGGAAGCTCCCACATCTTCGTCTCTAAGTTCACATATACCAGTTACGTCTGACAAGAAGGAAGACAAGAAGACATGTGGTAAATTGTCAGATCCCAGAGTATCAAAAACAAAATGCAGACCGCGCTCAGGAAATACATCCGACCTACCAAAGTCATCAACTACAAAGAATCTTAATGAATTACCAGAGTCTAAACTACGCCCAAAAGAATGCAGTCCACGCATGATGAATAGATCCAAATCCTGTTTTATTGAAAACCCCACGACTTCATCAAATATACCAATTGCAGATAAAATAAGCGAGGCTCCTATTAATGAAAATGGAAATGATGCCACAGTCAAGAAACCTGATAGCGGACTTTCCGAAGGCATGTCAATAGATCGCGACTGCGCCAGCGTAGCGTCACGAAATGTTGAAAATCCTCGTGGACCAACTGTAATTGAGGCACCACATTTGCCCATTTATCGAGGCAAGCTGCGTGGCATTTCAGCAACAAGCAGGAAAGAAGAGCGCAAAAATATAATTCTGGAGAGGCAACGCTCTGCGGAATACCAGGCAGAGATGAAAAGGAAATGGTATCAAATTCGGCAAGCCAGAAAACGCGAGTGCCAAGAAAACAAAGAAAAGCGCCGTGAGCAGCTAAAAAAACTAACCGATAAGCCCAAGCCAGATGAGACGACGGAACGTGCTGATGCGCGTAAACGAAAACTAACCAACGTACCTACGCCGAGTAATTGCAATCGTGGTGATTTTCTTACCAAGGACATCCAGCCACCAACAACAAAGAAGCCCAGACTAGAGAAAGTCCCAGCAAAGCCTGAAAAACCAACACCCAAGCGACGGGCTACTATAGAGTCCTTCTCACAGCAGCTGAGTGCTATGGATTTAATTAGAAATCTACCTGAACCACCGAGCCGCCCGAGAGTACGCAAAGATGCCGAATTGGCGCGCAATCAAAGGACCTGCAATCGCGTTACTTTTGCCGAAATGGAGCGCGAATTTGACTTGCGCCAAGAGCGAGAGAAGCGCGCTAAAAGTAGTCGGCACGTTCGGTTCAACGACAACTTGCAAATCAAAATAATCGAACGGGTTCCGGGTGCTAATCGCAAAGTGGGCAACTTCAAGGACACCAAGAAGATAACGTTAAGTACGTACGCGGAGCGGCGCGCTTGGTCGCAGGCAAAGGGCAGATTGGAGAACTTTAGCGATTTGATAATGGGCAACATTCTGAGCTGGGCAAACCAATGGCTTCAGCTGGGCAGCGCCGATGCAGTGGCTGAGTCTGAGGTCCTAATACCCATCCCAAATGAATTCAAGAGCTACAAACAGTACAAAGAGTATGTAGAACTCAATTGACATTGTAATGCAAAATGACTTAATTCAATTTCAACTTACAAATGTAGGATTGTCATACCATTGATGAAATTGGAGCTGCTGTCCACCATAGAGCGCGACTACAAAATTTCCAGCTCGACGTTTGAAGTCAGTTTGAAAAACATTTCAGGTTCCAACTCCCGCAACCGACCTCGCTATGTGTTGAACACTAGATGTAAGTCTCTTTATTCCATTTATATTTGAATTTCATAATGGCTACTCTTTAATTTCGTAGATAATAGCAGGATCGGCAAGAGATTTGATCTCTACACTATTAGTAGCGAAGACAAGCTGAAGGAGACGTTCGCATCACTTCCTCAAGTTCAGCGCGTTGCTGGTAAGTAAATCAAATATCAGATTAATAAAATCATATAATTTAAATACATTTACAGGCAACGTCTACGATTTGTCTTTTGAGATTTTGCAAGAGGGCATCAATTTAGATGTACTCAATTCGTGCAAGATTTTAACTGTTCGCCCTGTTGTGGATAATATTCGCGTGGAGATGGGCGCCTTCAATGCAATTTATTTGATGGGCCGCTCACCGCTATTTCATCGAATCCTGCATCCCAGCGAGACTGTGTTCTCGTACGACAACAAACTAGTACAACAAGCTGATTACAAAGGATTTAAGAAGTTGAATGATCATCAAATGGATATTTGCCAGCGCACTTGGAGTCGTTTGATTGACGACTCGACGCCTAGTGTAACGCTAATTCAGGGTCCGCCCGGCACGGGCAAATCGGCTGTAATCTCAAATCTAACGCTGCAGTGCATGTATGGTAGCAGCAGTATTTCACTCGACCGAAAAGTTCTCATATGTGCTCACAGCAACGCAGCAGTAGATAATATCACAGCGTATTTAAAGAAAGCTCGCTCGGCTATGAGCCACTCACATTTTGAGCTCATACGCTTTGGTTTCTTTGAGAAAATGGATTCAACCGTGCGCGATGTCTCGCTGGATGCCTTTCTCCACAAGAAACTTGCCGAAAAACGCAATCGTCTATCAGCCGAAAATATTGAAGCGCTAAAGAAGCATCAACAGATGCTGGAGAAAGAAATTGCCGATATTAAAAAGCTTCCTGGTCAAATCAATTATATACAAAATCAGCTAGATAGCAAAGAGAAACAATTACGCCTGGTCATGCAGCAATTAAAGCCACAGCTGACCCCACGGGAAGAGCACGAGTATTCCATGATGGTCTTGCAACGGGCTAATATAGTTTGCACCACACTCTCCAGCTGTGTTAAGCTAGCCAACTTCATAGACTACTTCGACGTATGCATAATTGACGAGGCAACACAGTGCACCGAACCCTGGACCCTTCTGCCATTGCGTTTTGGTGTAAGAGGTCTTGTCCTGGTGGGTGATACTCAGCAGTTACCTGCCACGGTACTGTCCCAGAAGGCAATTGAATTTGGTCTGGGTAATTCCATGTTCGATCGCATACAGCGCAATTTGAAGCAGCAGCTGGACAAGCCGGGAGGCAATCACTATGTTCATACCAAAATATTTAAATTAAGCAAGCAGTATCGTATGCATCCCGAGATTTGCAAATGGCCCAATAGTTACTTCTATGATAATCAGCTGGTGAACGCCGAATGCACCCATAAACTGATCTCTCCCTTTATACCGTACTGTGTCATCAATTTAAGCTATACAAAGGACACCAACGATGCGAGCAGTCGTAGTATTAGCAACGATGAGGAGGCACGATTTGTAGCCAAGTTGCTCCTCGAGATGGACAAGTTGATGCCTGTTAAGCATTTTCATTACGGACTAATATCCCCTTATAGCAGCCATTGCTATACACTTAGCCAGCTGATTCCCAGCCACATGAAGATTACGCCGCAAACAGTGGACGCGTTTCAAGGACAGGAGCGGGATGTCATAATCCTATCGAATGCACGGACACGCGGCGTTGGCTTCCTCACTAACTATCAGCGTCTTAATGTGGCCATCACTAGACCGACTCGGTGTCTAATTATCTGTGGAAATTTTGATGATCTGCAGGTAAGCATTATAAATATAAACCAAATTAATATTTCATTAATATTTTAATAACTATGTATGCGTTGGCAGTCTGTCAACATATGGCGTCATTTGCTGGACGATGCTCGAAAACGAAACGTTTACTTTCATCTGGAACGCGGAGATGTTGAGGATTTGCAGAAATCCCTAATTAGTAAGATACTTATAAAACCAATAGAAATTGCGGATAATACACCGTCGACCTCAAAGTGATCATTGCAAATGATATTTGCATTACCAAAGTGCCCTAAAAATTTGTACAAATTTAAAAAAATAGAAACTATGTACATATATAACTTACATAGATTAACCTAATATTTGTTGTCCTGATTTTGATTTTCCAACACAAATAAATTTAAGTTTTTTTTTGTTTTATTAATTTTAATTTAGTTTTGTAACATCAATAGAGACTGATCTTATATTTAAAACAGTTGCTCGATTCTAATTTGCACTGGATGAGCTAACGGAATTTCTCATTAAAATGATATCTCATTCTCAAAAGGAACTATGCATATATGTATATATTAATGCACGCAGAAACGTTTCTAGTGCATATAAGAACTGAAAATATTTGCGTTGAAGAATTAAATAAAAATATTCAACTATAGTTTTTATTGCACTAGAAATAAATATAACATAAATTGAAAGTCTTTAGATACTTGATCGTACGTATATTGTTAAGTAACAAACTAAAATGCTCATCCAAAAAATGATGTTTTAAGTTACAAATATTTACTAAAGAACATTTCACAATCTAAACTAGGCGCGCCTCTTCTCTGGCATGACTAAACTCGGCTCTCGGCGTAGAGGCGTAGAGCTTTATTATTTTAATAGTAAGTAAAGTACACATAGATGTACTAGATATACATATATATATACATATATCTATATATATATATTTATATATTTTGTAAATTCACACACGGAGACATAGACATTAAATTCATTTCATTGGATCGCTCTAATAGTTGCAGTTGTTGTAGTTGCCTTTCGCTGGCTTTCATTTGCAGTGTTTAATTCGATTTTGTAAAAATGTCAATCTAATAACGCAAGTATAGTTTGATTAAAGTTAATGGAATCGCTTTATAACAAATCACCGGTAATCGGATTGCAATTGCACTGTATAATGCCATTATCATAATAATATTCATAATAGTAATTGTAACTAAAATAACTTAAAAAAATCGTAAATAACAACAAAATTCTAAAGTATAACTAAAAACATAACAAAAAAATTATGCTCAAGAAATTAAAACTATTCATATAGTGTTCGATTCAATTGAATCACTTTTTGGGGCCCTTTACATTATCCAATTAGCGCTTGGCGAATGTTCATAAACAGAAATAAGAATATCAATGTATATACACATATGTGCATATATACATGAATATAGATTTCCTTTTATAATGAATATATATAGAGATATATATATAAAGAGACGTACGACTAAAGCAAACAGTTGTTGTTGTCTAATATTTTTAGTTTAGCATGTCGCCAAGCGAGTCTTTTAATGACTGATAAATTTGGTATTGTTGATCCGGTTTAAGATTATAAATCTGAAAGGAAAGCATAGGTTAAAATCTGATTATAAGACATATTAAATGCGAAACCAACCTGTGTCAATAGTTTTGACGGAGATGGAGTTCTAATGAAACTTGAAATGTAAACGTTGACAAAGGTGGCCATCAAAAACTGGCAGTCGAAACGATCCATAATGCCGCCATGGCCGGGAATCATGTCACCAAAGTCCTGAAAATAAAGAAAGATGTTTCAATTACAGACTCAGATATTATAAGCAAGGGCAAATATGGACTTACCTTAATTTTAAATGCACGCTTGAAGCCAGAAGCAAAGAAGCCGCCAAACGGTCCAATTATAGAGCTAAACAGACTCAGCGAGATCGAGTGCCATACGAATGGATAGATATTCAATGATTTGCCAATACCGAACTGAAATAGCAAAGAATGCACAAAAACCAATCAATACTAATTAGGGAAACCATACTGTGCACGTATAAATTTGTTACTTACCAATTTCAAGCTGTATTCCTGTGGCGTAAACAGATAACTGGGCACGCAGGACATTGTCATGCGACCCAGTTCCTCCGAGTATTGAATGGGGCATATAAAGTATTGGTAATTGCACAAAATATAAGAGAATAATATGCCGAATAGAACGGTTGCAAAACCACCACCGATAAAGCCCTCCCAGGTTTTCTTGGGGCTTAGCTTGATGAGGGGTGTGCGTCCAAAGAAGAAACCAAACACATAAGCCATGACATCATTGCAAACAATCATCGAAACGGGCACTATAAACCAAATAAGTCCCTCGAATATGTTTTGTATAATTAGATAACTTTGGGTGACGACAATTAGCAGCGAGACGTGCGTCCAGGCAAATAGACTGAACTGCTTAATATAATATTTCTTGACCAGCGATAGCACGAACCAAACGAACCCAACGATGTACAAGGCAAACGATAGGAAGCGATGATAGGTGACTAAGAACTTCAGGTATTCCTGCAATATAAATTCATTAAAAATAGGTGAATTCCTAACAAAGCTGTTGAGGACAGTGTAAGCCACTTACCACACGATTGATGACCACACCGAAGTAGTCAACTAGATGCTCGCCATAGAAGAAATAGTTGGACGTAAGCAAGAAATACCAGGAGAGACTGCGAAACCAGGGCAGGCCATGTATGCGATACACTTGATAGCCAATTGAGATAATCTCCTGAAAGCACTTCACCTGCACGAGCAGCGTCTATAAATGTCGATAAGTGGTTAATAGTATGTCACCGTTGGCACCCTTTCGCATTCGAGTTCGTTAACGTACCGTAATCATCAAGGCCAGGGGGCCGCCATAGATGATTAATGCAAATCCGCAAATCATAATCCATGTGAATATGCCCCGGATGACCCAGTTCTTCCAACTAAAACAACATTCGCAAGTAAAATAAACAAATGCATATGAAAGCAGAGCTATTATTATTAACACTGTGCCATAATTGGATAATTTAATGTGCCACGTGGGTATAAACATAAATATTAATATATTAGGAATAATTTTTAGATAAAATTATAACTATTTACCCACAATACTAATAGCCATAAATTATATTTACATTTAATCATATCTTAATGTTATATACGATAAAAATGAAATTAAATCAAAGACTGAAAAATTGGCGGATGACCGCACCTCGAATAGTAGCTTGAATATTTATTTTTGTTTTTTTTTTTTTTTTAAATAAAAATGTGGGATATGTAAAAATGATCATAAAAAGGACGTATAGATAGATCCTAATCAAGATGTTTATATTTTATGGTTTGAAAATTCTCTATCGACGCATACATTAATTTAAATAAATCATAATACCCTTTAATGAACCCCAATTTTTTGCAGGGTATAAAAATGGATTATTTTTGTTTCTTTATGATATTACTACGCACCGATTGCACACATCTGTATAGTGAAATAATTTTGGAATTTCGCACATTCTTTCACTCGCAATATCATTATTTATACACATCATAAATCATTGTTTGCACATACCGATCGGGTAAATCCTTAAGAGCAGAGTCCAAGATTTCGGGCGTTTTGTCCGTGCCTTGGGGCAAATTTTTGGCCAGCTCCTCAACGAACTTCTCCTCTGGGATTTTTTCTTCCTCTGAATCGACCTGCAAACATTTTATCAGATCCAAACAGCCACTCAATCATCAAAGCGATATATAGAAATTAAAAAAATTGAGACTGTTCGAATTCAAAGTCCAAAGACGTCGGGTAATTTATGTATATAGTATTGCGCAAAGTATAATCGGAACATTTGGACTATTTATCCAAGTTTATTGTTGTTTGGCTCTGGTTGGTTGTTTCAGTGGCGTGTTTTGTTAGTTTGTCGAAAATTTGGCGGGAGTGATAAGAAAGTTGCAAGGCTAGTTGGAGCCTATGCCTGGGGTCTTATCATTATCATAGAGACAAACAGAGGAATCATATTGTCAAAGCACGTCTCTGAGGTCGATGGGTGGTTGCTAGGTGGTTGGGTGGTTGTTAGGGACGCTTTTGTAATGGTCACTTAATTGGATTTGTTTGCAATACACCGGGGTCTTTGTTATTGTCATTTCTGTCTGCGTGTGGGTGTGTGCCAAGTATGTATGTCACAGTTAGATTTGTGTATGTAGTATATTTGTTATTGGTTTTTCTCCATATGCGTCCGCTCTCCTTCTCATTTTCTCAATACACACACTCTCTCTCTCTCTCACTCCCTATCTTGATGTCTCTCTGGATGGCGCTCTTTTACCACCTGCTCGTGCGTCAGAGAATAACAAAAACACTGCACACAATGTAAGGCACACGTACAAACATACGTGTATATAGTAGATATCTTGTTGTATTGGTATACATAAAATTCGCTTTTTTTGTATGCGCTTCAATGAATTATGCAAATTATGGAATGCAACTACTGAATGCACGTATCAACCGATAAATGTAGATATTTACAATCTGAATTGACCTGGATAACTTACATGATCTGAAGAATCAGCTGCGCTGTTTGCGGCAGTCAGAGCCGCAGCAGCCTCGTCAACATCGTTTTCTGCCTTTCTGCGTCGCACTTCGGCCATGTTTATGCTTCGGCACGCTCTACAAATTTATTTTAAATGCCAATCGCTTTTTCCTTAATTGCAGTTGACGCGCAGTTGTAGTGCTGCATAAACAAGAACTTAAAATTTAAATCGTCCGTTTTCTGCTTCTACACAACACACATACAAGCTATTACTACAATATCAATTAAAGCGGTGTGACCGGGTATATAAATGTTTGAAATGTGATATTTTATCAACAGCTGTACCGATAGACTACAAATTCGATGACAGTTTGCGTTCGGTACTAATTTGCGCTGTACAGCACTGTTTTCTGTCAATTTCTATGTGTATGTGTGACCGGCGGCGTCATTATATTTTGCATTGCATTAAGTGAGAAATCATCAAACAAAAAATAAATAATGGCTGCAGCAATTGATGGTGTCCTGCCCGCTACGTTGCAAGAATTGGTCAAGAAATCAAAAGTATTAGTAGTAGGCGCTGGCGGCATTGGGTGCGAAGTGCTCAAAAATCTTGTGCTCAGTGGATTTACGGATATTGAAATTGTAAATTTAGTTTGAATTTTCAATTCTTTTTCTTTAACTATGTGTTTTATTGTGCAGATCGATTTGGATACGATTGACTTAAGTAATCTGAACCGCCAATTCCTTTTCCATCGCGAACATGTAGGCAAGTCAAAGGCGCGTGTAGCACGTGAGAGCGCCCTCAGCTTTAATCCTGATGCAAACATTACGGCTTACCATGACAGTGTTACGTCGTAAGTATTATGTAGTATCCTTCACATCCATAGAGATCTCATTTATCTGTTTGTTTTGCAGCACTGACTACGGCGTTAATTTCTTCAAGAAGTTTGATGTGGTGCTCAGTGCCTTGGACAATCGGGCGGCGCGAAACCACGTAAATCGGATGTGTCTCAATGCAGATGTGCCGCTCATAGAGAGCGGCACCTCCGGCTACAATGGTCAGGTGGAGTTGATTAAGCGCGGTTTGACCCAGTGCTACGAATGTACTCCCAAGGAGAAGCAAAGAAGTTTTCCCGGCTGCACCATACGAAACACGCCCTCCGAGCCCATTCACTGTATTGTCTGGGCCAAGCATCTGTTCAAGTAAGTTTTGCTTATTGTTGTCAATTAATGCGTTAATAACAATGAATTGTTTAGTCAACTTTTCGGAGAGTCAGTTGAGGATGAAGACATCTCGCCTGATGCAGCTGATCCGGAGGCACAAGAAGCTGCAGCAGAAGCTAAAGATACTGGTGCGGCTGGGGATGCTCCTGATGGGCTAAAGGAAAAGGAATCAGAGCCTGCCACCGCCAATGGAAACATCGTTCGCATCAACACTCGTCAATGGGCCAAGGATTGCAACTACGATGCCGGCAAATTGTTCAACAAGTTCTTCAACGAGGACATCAACTATCTGTTGCGCATGTCGAATCTATGGAAATCACGCAAAGCGCCTGTGCCCGTACAATGGGATACGCTATTGGTTGACGGCGCCGGCTCTAAGGGGCCCGAGCTTGCGCGTCAGACGCACAAGATTTGGTCACTAGAGGAGTGCGCACATGTGTTTGCCAACGCGCTCAAAGAGCTGAGCGCTGCTTTTCTCAAACTGGAGGGCAACGACACATTGGTGTGGGATAAAGACGACCAGCCAGCTATGGACTTTGTCGCAGCTTGTGCCAATGTACGTTCTCACATCTTCGACATTGAGCGCAAGTCACGATTTGAAATTAAGTCAATGGCAGGAAATATTATCCCTGCCATTGCTACGACCAATGCGATAACTGCAGGCATCTCGGTGCTCCGTGCTTTCAGCGTGCTGCAGGCTAAGTGGGAGCAGTGCAAGGCTGTATATGCTCGACTCCGCCTCAATGGCCGCAATCAATTTCTGGTGCCGGACGCCTTTTTCCCGGCCCCAAATCCTAACTGTTATGTGTGCGCCAGTGATCCAGCCATTACGTTGCGCATCGATACGAAACGCGTCCAAATCAAAGCATTCCGCGACGAGGTGCTCATCAAGACGTTGAACATGGTAAATCCGGATGTGACAGTCGAGTCCACTGGCTCCATTCTAATATCCTCGGAGGAGGGCGAAACTGAATGCAATGAACAAAAGCTGCTGAGTGATATGAACATCGTCGATGGCGTTATCTTGAAATGCGATGACTTCTTCCAAAGCTATGAACTCAGCATTATCATCTCGCACTTCGATGCGGAAAGGGACGATGTCCTATTCGAAGTAATTGCCGATAAAAACCAACTCCAGCCCAAAGAGGAGAAACCTGAAGAGCCCGAGGCGGAACCGAGCTCTCGTAAGCGTGCGGCAAATGGTAACGATGCGACAGACGATGGTCCCTCAACCTCGAAGCGAAGTCGACCAACGGAGGTGGAGGATGACGATGATGACTGTCTCGTTGTTGAGGATGATGATGATGCTGAGGAGAAAGTGCAGGAGAGCGTTGAGGATACAGTTGCRGCTGCAACAAATAAACTAACGGTAGACTGCCCACAGAAAACCGCAACAAAACGAAAGCCTAGCAAGACGTTGGATGATGAGGATGTTGAGGACATAACTGAAATATTAGATTCTTCGGATGAAGAAGTTGTCGGTCCCACTAAGTGCAAACGCACAAAGCTAGAGGAGACAAGGGCGGGCGAAGTAATCAATATCGACTAATATTATTAGTAAAGCGATTCTATGCAATTCTCAAAAATAAAATAAACAACTGAATTTTATTAAAAATAAAACTGCTATTTTTTAAACAAGACCATCTTAATTAAATGCGAACCAGTTCAGTTTATTCTCTTCCAATTCGAATAGTGAATGAAGTGTGAATGGTTGGCAACGCGGACAGCAGTTCAATTTTGATACTCTGGCAACTCTAATGTAGGTGAAGGTGCGTGTTTGTGTAATTATTGGAGAAACATAAATTAAAACTCCCTTTACAGATGTCTTTTACTAGTAAACTGCTACAGAATACTACACGGCTATGGAATAGCATCAACGCCTCACGTGGTTTCCATGTGTTGATGCGGCCCACAGTCAATGCCACAACAACCACAACGCCGGTTCACAATACAACTGGTCAGCAATTGGTGCCCTCAACTAATCTAGTATCATCCCTTCTGGCGCCTTTCAATGCATATGTCCAGCAAGTAGCAGGATTTAAGGTGAAGGGTCGTTTAAAGCGACGCTGCAAGGATTGCTACATTGTGGTACGGCAGGAGCGCGGTTATGTCATCTGTCCCACGCATCCGCGTCACAAGCAAATGTCAATGAAGAAACGTGATTACAAGTCCTGGATTCTGACGCACGCCACACAATCTAAGGAGAGGGGCTATTAACTCATAATATATTTATGTGTAAATACCCAATAGTTTTTTATTGACTTCAATAAAATAATGTGTTGAATTAAGGTCGTTCATATTTTTTTTATGCTGTAATGGTACAGCCTAGTTTGCATAGAACTTTTACGCATTTAAATCAATGTATTTCTATCATCAGTGGGTTAGAAAAACATTTAAAAAAATTTTTAAACAAAAATTAAAGTATTCCATTGCTTTTTGTATTTTGGTAGTGTTTCAAGGCATTACTCAACACTGGTTAACAGCTGGCGCTTTGTTTATCTATAATTTTTGTTAGCCGCAATTGCTTTGCAGCTTAATTATCTAGAGCTGGTATCGAACTAACGCCATTCGAAACTCAGTTGACGTCAGAGAGAGTAATTTCTGGTGCATTACGGATAAAGCGAAATATTTTCGCCAGTTCTTGCGGCAATGACGAGCCATTTTGTAAGCGTGTTGCGCCAGGCCTTCAAGACTTTCGACCGCGCCAATCTTGCCAGCTTCAATGCCAATTTGCAGCTTCTGAAGCAGTTAACTGATGAGCTCACTTATCGTGATCTACATATCAAAGAGGAACTATTCCGTGACGATGCCACGAATGTGACCCGTGCACCATGCAGCTATATGCACATCTTCGAGGATGAGCGCTTCTCTATGAGTTTATTCATTGTGCGCGGCAGTAATTCAATTCCACTGCACGATCATCCCATGATGTACGGCCTGCTGCGCTGCATCTGGGGCAAGTTGCATGTGCAGAGCTACTCCCAGAAGCTTGCCGCCGATGAGATGGTTCAGTATGAGAAGAATCCAACAATGGTCAAAGTAATCGCTGAGGAGCCCAACCTGGTGACTGCCGAAACATCTAGCGCCTTGTTAACGCCACGCAAACGCAACTATCACCAGATTACCCAGGTCGGCAACGGTATTGCCGCCTTCTTCGATATACTTAGTCCTCCATACGATGCCAATATGCCGAAATATGGTCCACGCCTTTGCCGCTTCTATCGCCCAAAGTCGGATGGCGACGAACTGCAGTTGCAGTGCATTCCGTCGCCCTCCAGCTACTATTGTGATTTAACCCCAACTCCCAAGTCTGTGCTGAAATGTTGCTTCATCTGTGCCGCCGAAGTTTATGGTGCCACCGTCACCGACGTTCAGTGAATTATATCCTTACAAAATGTATCCTTAAATATAAACTTAATTTATTTCCATTCAACGTGAACATCACGTGCTGCATACCAGTAGGATCCATGATTAAGCATTTTCTGTGTTATTTAAATAAAATTGCCTCTTTTTTTTAATATCGACTTTCAATTGGTTAGGGATATAGACAATTAAAACTTAAACTAACAAGGTCGAGGTAAAATTCGTCCGTTAATCATCTTCTTCAGCTTGATATATGCTTTGATTTCGTCTCTTAAGTTTCTTGATATTGGGACTAGTGCGAATGGCTGGAGTCTCTTCAACTTTTGAATCCTCGATTATAGGCATCGCCTCTTCGTCGACTTCCTCGGGCAGCTCGATGACATTTTTGTCTGGCTCGACTGCTGCAACTGGCGCTGGCAGCGACATATTTAGTTTACGTTTCGGAGGCGTTGCCACATGCTGGACTATTGTGGGCACATCCTCTATAGACTGCTCCAGATTCCCTTGATCCGTTTTGATGTCGGCAGAGCTGTCCAGCAAGCTGGCAGTTTGTGGCAAATCCTTCCCACTAGCCAGCATGGCCAAGCAAAGCGGATCATCGATGCCCAAAATGGAGCAGAATTCATTGGACTGGGGATTCAGCAGTGGATTCGCCTGCTCAATGTGCGTCTGCTTATAATTGTAATCCTCTTCCGGATCGAATGGCGGCACAGTACGGCAAAAGTTCTCGGGCACTGAAAGGCTTTCGAATTTAGCGCGTATGTGCTCCAGCTCCTCGTCAGTGGGCGTGAAATTGCAGCGCTCTTCAATGGCGCCTGCCTTCTTGCCAGGCAAATAGTAATTATTATCTTTCACAGAAATCAAATGATTCGTTGTACGCAGTATCGAAAGCCATTCGGCATCATAGTCTAGCGACAATTTGCCTTCACTATTATCGTTAGAAGGCATGTCCAGTACTTGTAGGAAGCGTCGCCTTGGTAGACATTTGTCTAGAGCCAAGAACTTGGTTACAGGCACTGGTGTTGCTGGTACATTCTGTCGCGCTGTCCTGCTGTCATCGTTGTCTTCATTTTCGTCYTCACTTTCGCTACTGCTGCTGCTGCTACTACTTGCATCACCAGGATTATTTCTCTTTATATGATTTCTAGTGTGTGGCACCAGCGCAGCGAATTTGCAATGTAAATGAGCAGCAAACCAATATGTAGGTTGCAACGCTTTTAAGAGTTCCTCGAGCGGACGGCTTCCCAGCTGCCCGCTTTCGATGTCTTCCGTAAAATGTGGCTTAAACCGTAGCAGTTGAGCCTTGTTGCCATACTCCTGTATTCCCCTGGGCCAGTCATGCGACATGAAGATGTCCACCTTGCCAGAAAGTTGTTTCAGGCGGAACACTTCCAACTGCCTCACGTGGTAGACGCTGCGACATGTTTTGTCGGTGTATGGCGGGAATTCGTGGTGGCCGCGCAAAAAATCGTGGCCCTTGTATATGCCGCTGATGCCCGCAATACGAATACCATTTACCCTGACAACGCCTGCATATCCAAGGTAATATATGTTAGGCGCTACCCAACCTCCATAGGGCAGCTCTTGTAAATAGTTGGACGCTTCGTGGTTGCCACCAATAAATATTGTCAGAATGGGCGCTACAAGCTCCCCGCTGTAATATCTGTAAAGAAGTTGATTGATTAAGTGTTGCACGCGTTACAATCTTCGCTACGCACTTGTAGAAGGTACACATGTCCATGTACTTCCTTGGCACAGCCATTGTCTGTAAGTCCGCAACATTTCGCGTAGATTGAAAATCCCCGCAGCACAAGAGCAGGTCGATTTTAATGTTTTGCTCCTTTTCGATGCTTTCAATGGTTTCATATATGCGCTCCAGTTCGCCATGGGCACAGCCTTCAATAGCAATTTTCATATCGGCGCCTTTTTAGTTTACGTTCACAAAATATAAACAAATGCGGCATGAATGCATTCGCTCTCACACGTGAATGGCAAACCCAAAAGAATATTTATCAGCCTGCCACCACAATAGTGTGCTTACTAAAATAATCATGACATCACATTTCACAACACTTAAATTGGAGGCTCAATTTAAAAAAGCCCATGGCTCAGCGATGTACCATGGAAACAGTAATACTTGTAAACAACAAGAAAATCAAGTTAAATTCAAACGTTAAAAATGTTTTTATTTTTCAAAAATATCGCTTCGTCTATTACGTTATATAAGTGTGTGTAAAGACAATGTAAGTGAAATGCTCTACATTGAATTCTCATTCTCTGACCACTTCACGCTGGAGTGTGTATGATCCATGTTTAGCTGGGCGCGATCTCATTCTATGAGACGACTTCTAAATAGTTTTTCTTTTTAGTTACATACAATGATATACAATAGACTTTCAACTTATGTTACTATAATTTAGTTGGCATGGAATTGCCAAAAATAGAAATTTTAAATATAAATCTACAATAAATATAAAGCGATCACCCTACCCATCCATCGCTCAACCGATCGATGTATGCAACACGTGTAAATGTGTGAATGTGTGTACATAAAATATGTACGAGAATCTATAGATTGCCTCAACAGCCGTCATATCAAGTGCCAGCTACTATTTAGTTATTTCGTTTTCTTTTTTTTTTTTCGTTATGGAAAGAATATGAGAAACAATGAAGTCAAAAGAAAAGCGTACTAATAAGTCGGTGTCCCACAGTCAATTAAGATCCGAACTTAAATGATGTCGGCACGGTGGTCTGAGGGAAGGCGAACCCGCCCTGTTTCTCAATTAGTTTCGATTCCTTGGCCGCCTTGCGCTGGTCGGCGGTCAAAACGACCTCCTGCAGAGCTTTGGCCTGTTCAGGTGTTAGGTTCGATGTTAGCAGCGAATACCATGACTGGTCTTGGGTAGAAAGTGCTAAAAATGCAGAAGATAAATAAGTAATCAATTATTTAGATATATGAAGCTTTGTTTTGATTTACCAGTTATAACTTCCTTGAACGTCCAATATTCATCAATAGCACTGTCGTTTTCTTCATCGTCAATCGGCGTGGTGAATGTTTCGAGACCAGTTTCATTCAAATCACCAACGGACTCTTCCGCTTCATCATCAGAATCCTCATCATCGTCTTTGATTTCGGCCTTCACCTCAAAACCAGATGCGGCACCTTTCGTTTTCGAGTAATCGGCTAACTTGTCCAAGTAATTGGGTGCCATCTCATCCATTTCATCCTCATCGCTTGATAGAGCCTCTGTAGACAATAATTAATGTTAGTTTTACATGAAATTGATTTTCAGTCTATATTTTCTATCTTACCCTCACAATCATCACCATCCTCCTCTTCTTCTTCCTCTTCCTCTTCCTGAGCACGAGATTCGTATGCTCGTTTAAGGCCGTCGAACAGCAATATCAGCGATGGTACAATCTTACCCGCCACTTCGCTAAGCACTTGAGGTTTGGCATCGCCTAGTGAAATGAGTGTACACAGACCCAAGACACACAGCTTGCGATCGTGTATTCTACATAAATATATTGGTAAGTTTACAATTGGAGTTCGTAGAGTAGTAGTTGTAGTGGTTCACATACCCAAGGAAACAGTCTGTATCGTGCAGCCATTGCTTAATGAAATGCGAGCTGATTGGTTCGTTGTTTGGTTGCGACATTTTGTCCAGAATCGAGAGCAGTAGCTGTGGGTTGTAATATAGGGCTGCAATGACCACCTGTAGGCACATAGTACGCAGCTCGGATGACTGCACCTCGCGTGTCAAACGCGACAGAGCTAACTCCACAAACATGTGTATCACCGAATCAATTTGTCCTTTACACTGCAAGATAATGACCTCCATCAATTTAGCAGCATGACATTCGGGATCTTCGCCAGGATTGCTAGTTAGCATCTAAATAAAAAACAATTTGAATAACATAAAACATGGCTAGCAACGTCCTCAAATCAGCTTACAGTTTTGCACATGTCCAGTATGGCCAGGAGACGGTTCGGATTGGAGAGGAAAGCTGGCGTATCAACGGTTACATAGTTATGCAGCGCCGGCATAATGTCAATGAAGTAATCAACGCCATCCTTCTTGAATACTTGATAGATGAGCTCTAGCATTTGCCACATTTCAGCCGAAATGGACTTCGATGTTAAATCATACACAAGTGAGAATGTTTCCTCATAGAAATCTGTGAAATAAGCAGAGTAGAATCAACACATCCTTCACGTTTAGGAGGATTAACTTACCGGTAATGTTTTGCTGGAATATGTGACCCACAACGTTAATCACAATCGGATGCAAGTTAAGCAGCACTTCCGGATGTTCCTCCATAACGCTAAGCAGAGTTTCTATTGTATTCAAGAGGCCCATAGCCGTAATGGCCTTCTCATCAGATCCCTCCTCCGATTCTAGTACTTGACTAAATGTTGTGGCTAGATGTTGACAAATTTCTGTTGCAACTGGCAGCAGTTGCTCCGTGAATGTGCAGACAATCTTCTGCATGACGTTTGTCAAGTCTTCGTTTTCAGTTTCGCGTATGATGGTCAACAGCTCCTTGGTAATCTCTTTGATTTGTGACTCCACATATTTTGGTGCTTCGTCTTGAGATGATAGGAACATTTGCAGGCCAATGGCAGCTTCTACCTTAACGGGAAGCTCTTTATCCGTCAGCAAAGCGTTGGTGGTCAGGCGCATTGTTTCAGCTAGCACTTGGGGGTTCTTGATTTGCACATCGCAGAAGTAGTGCAAAACCCAACAGGCACGAGCACGCATATGACCAGCGGGATTCTGGAATTCCGGAAACACATAGGTGGTCAGCATGGACTCCACCTGATCACGATAGAGCGCCTTCTTCAATAAAACATCCGCCAGTGTACCAATCATATGAAGTGCGCCATCCTTTTGCTTGTTGTCCGCATTGGGTGAGGTAATTATTTGCATTATTGTGCTCATCGCTTTAGGCAGAATGCCCTTACGCTTCTTACAGACGGAATGCAGCAGCGACTGGGCAGCCGGTACAGGTGTCGCGTAGTCCTCAAAGATATCTATATAGGAGAGGACATATGATGAGTTAAAGAAATCTAAAGAATGTAATTGTTTTGGTTGCTTACCAAATTTGAGGCGAATGTATTCATAGGGATCGCTCTCCCATAACTCCTGATCAGAGTCGGTAAATGACATAATAGGGAATATGACATCCTGAATAACAGCCACCATGTGCGGTTTGATCAGCTTCCAGGTATAGGCGTGGCTCACACTAACGACGAAAATTCTATCATTTTTGGCGATTTAATATTCGATTTAGAAAACTTACGCAATTTTTAGATAGTTTAAAACATCCGTTAGAACACGCGGCGACACGTAAACGCGATTGCGGTATTGATCCAAGATTTTGAGCAGGACCTCCAAGACACCTGAGCTAAAGGTGGGCAGATACCATTCAGCGAATTTCTGATACTTTTCACTAACAACATTGCTGGGACTGCCATAGCTGCACATTAAATAAAAGGAATTAGATTTAAATCTGATCAAAGTCTCACATTAATTACCGCTCGAACATGCGGACCATGATGTGCAACGCCCATTTCTTGGTCTTCCAGTAGGGGAATTCTGTGCGCTCATCATCTTCCAAGTGGGAACAATCGGGCACAGCACGATCGGCAATCTGGCGACAGATTTCCATCCACTGAGAGAAGATCTCTTTAGTGATGAGGTCAAGCGGCAGACTGTACTGCGTTAGTGCATAATAAATTTTGAGTATTTGTTTTTGCAATAGCACCGATTGTTCCGACTGATCGTTGAGCAACGTCAGCATGAGCTGATAAATCATTGGCAACAGCAAATTCATGGCTTCGTTGAGCGGCGTGCGTTCTTCGAAGCGCTTGTATTCGTAAGTCTTGACCAGCTGGTACATGGTGACCAGGGCGCCATTCCAGCCATTCACATCTTGATTTTGCAAGTATATGCTAATATTGTCCACCACTTGGGGCCAACGGCCAGGGAAATCGCTCTTAATGATATGGTTCACACAGACAGACAGTTGAACTCTGTAGAGCACACAGCACAAGCATGATTATATTTATCAATTTCTGAAACATTGCATTATGTCATTGCATCTTACCTAATCAGCTCGGGAGCATGTACAATAGCATCCACAATGGCGCTGCGTATCATGGCGCGATCCTGTTCGTGAATGGAGAATGGTATGGGCTCTCCAGGCTTTGTCTCGTGATCCGACCAGCTGCTGTTGATCAGATTCTTTAGATAGACTGCACCCGCCTGCCGCACCGGCTGCTCCAGTGTGGTTTGCATGACGATTTGCAGAATGGTCGGCACAAAACCAATGATTTTGTGTATCTGGGCGAGAGAACATTTGTAAATAGGTTTTCCGTCTGACGATTTGTTTATACAGCTGCCGCATAACGTGGTGTACGGCGAATGAGTAATATAATTTGGTGGCACACACAATGGATACAATTTCGCATGCCAATCCAAAGATTGGAAAACGTGTATTGATAAAACAATAGCAATGCATGTAGCCACCAGCCGCGAGGCTCCTCCCAATTCGCAACATTTAAAATTCTAGGCACATTCCCTACATACATATATATGTATATATTCTAATGGCATGCGTTTGCCCATTAAAGAAGCTTCGAACAGTGTAGTAGTAATTTGCAATATATGCTGATAAAGTTAATTAACCGATTGAATAAGGAGGGGCATGGAAATCGTTAGAAGCTGACTCAGCCACAAAATAAGATACTTTTGAACAGTGGTACAGAATGCTAAGCTAATTGAATAAAATTCATTAGTTATGTCTCATAGCGCGCGCTTCCGAAGGAACTTAATTACTGTCAATTAAATATACATTTTGCTTAAATATAGTATTACATTCTTGGTGTTTATCAATTTTGTAATTAGAATTCCTAACATTTTATTAAATATTTTGTAATCTGAAATGGGCTAGAAAATTAATCTTTAAGATATTCAAATACCCGAAAATTAATAGGAATATAAACTTGTTGCCACCGTGCAGCACACATACATACATACACTTACTCACGCATACATGTATGTATGGATTCGTTCTGTGCATTGGTAAACGCACCACCCGCACCTAGCCCATCTGCAGTACTTGTTGCCGCATGGCCAATGGGTCGCTGGGCGAGCGGACCATATATCGTGGCCTAGCTAAATGTATGGCAAACAAAAAATAGTTGCTGCCTTCTGCTGTTTTTTGGCTAATATCAATTTACTATTGACACTAGCACGCCCGCACATCGACGCATGGGCACACATACACAAACATACGCTCATTCCCACACACATTTTTATAGCGCACAGATAGGCAGAGAGAGGGAGGTTAAAAGCGAACAATTAAAAAAGCACATGGTTTTCTTCATGCTTTGGCGATGGCGCCAGTGGGGCTCAATATAGAAGGCCGCGTCGGAGCACTTTAAAATTTATTTAGCTAGTCACTTACTTGTGCTAATTGATCCTCGGCCGCCTTCCTTTGCTCCGGATTCGGATCAATGGTTGCGCGCAACAGTTCCGTCAATTTTTGTGCCTCCATTTTCGTGTATGTGATTAATCCTATTCGCCGGTTTTGCTGTGATTGCTGCACAAACAAAGAAGCACCCACTAATCACCCGCAATTCGCTAAGGTTTAGCTAAATTATCGATATAAATGATGCACTGGCAAGGCCAATTGCAAAAATATACGCTAATAGGAAAAACGTGGAAAAAGGCTGTCGCAGCCACACACACACCGCCGAAATTTGCGAGTCCGAGCGAAGCGTGTGATGTATTATCGTTACCGACACTAATCGTTTCGATTATTTTTGAGAGTGCTGGAAAACGTATCGCACACCAATGCAACGCTGGCTATATAGGTGTTGCTAATGTGTGTGTGAGTGACAAAGAGCGAAGTTTTTCTAAATGACACATCGTCGCTGGAGGAGGTGTGGTTGAAAATTTATAAAGTTTGGTGTTTATCAGCAAGGCAATCGAATTGAAAGTTGTCTAAAACTCAAGCTAAAAGTGTAATTTAGACTGTTAAATAGCAAAATCAACCAAATCCTCAGTCAACATGGCAGGCAGGCTACCGGCATGCGTAATCGATGTGGGCACCGGGTAAGTTTCGTGCGTGGTATTCGTAACTGGTGCCAGTGGAGGAACGTGCCATATTTGTACACAAACCTGAATGTTCCACTAATGACACAATGTTTACGTTGACAGCTACTCCAAACTGGGTTATGCTGGCAACAAGGAGCCACAGTTTATAATACCCTCGGCCATCGCAATTAAAGAATCTGCAGGCGTTGGCGACACTAGTAAGCGACGCGTCACAAAAGGCATCGAGGATCTTGACTTTTTCATTGGCGACGAGGCGTTCGATGCCACGGGCTACTCCATTAAAGTGAGTAAGCAGCATTAACTATGCAGGGCTTATGCGCACGCATTTGCGACGATATCGCAGCTCGTGAATGACTTCGTGATATGACAACAGCTGATAAAAAACTGTTTATCAAAAATTTTTAAACCCAAAATAATGTTTTGTGATCTTGTGCCTTTGCAGTATCCTGTGCGTCATGGCCTGGTGGAGGATTGGGATCTTATGGAGCGCTTCTTGGAGCAATGCGTGTTTAAGTATTTGCGTGCCGAGCCAGAAGATCATTACTTTCTGTTAACCGAGCCGCCACTTAACACGCCAGAGAATCGCGAATATACTGCGGAAATAATGTTTGAAACGTTTAATGTTCCTGGTCTTTATATTGCGGTTCAAGCCGTGCTAGCCCTGGCCGCCAGTTGGGCATCTCGATCCGCGGAAGAGCGAACCCTAACCGGCATTGTGGTAGACAGCGGTGATGGTGTGACGCACGTTATTCCCGTGGTAAGTACATTACAATACTTTTTATTTACCCTGCATATCTTATCTCTGCTTTCTGCTCTACCCCAAATTCTTCGACAGGCGGAAGGCTATGTGATTGGTTCATGCATCAAGCATATACCGATTGCCGGTCGCAACATTACGTCGTTCATTCAGAGTTTATTGCGTGAACGAGAAGTGGGCATACCGCCGGAACAGAGCCTCGAGACTGCCAAAGCGATTAAAGAGAAACACTGCTACATATGTCCAGATATAGCCAAAGAGTTTGCCAAGTACGATGCGGAGCCAAACAAGTGGATACGCAACTATACGGGCCTGAACACTGTCACAAAACAACCGTTCAACGTGGATGTGGGCTATGAGCGTTTCCTCGGACCGGAGATCTTCTTTCATCCCGAATTCTCGAATCCAGACTTTACCATACCGCTCTCGGAAATTGTTGACAATGTTATACAGAACTGTCCAATTGATGTACGTCGCCCTCTCTATAACAATATTGTACTGAGTGGTGGCTCGACTATGTTCAAGGACTTCGGTAGACGCCTTCAACGAGACATCAAGCGGTCGGTGGATACGCGTTTGCGAATCAGTGAGAACTTGTCTGAGGGACGCATTAAGGTATATGCTGATGACTTATATTATTAATCAATAATGAATCATAATATCTATTCGAATTTATATTTCAGCCAAAACCTATCGATGTTTCGGTGATTACGCATCATATGCAGCGCTATGCCGTCTGGTTTGGAGGCAGTATGCTGGCCTCAACGGTAAGCATTGATTGGGAAAAAATGAGTTATTTGAACTTAATAAATATTTTGCTTTGCAGCCCGAGTTTTATCAGGTGTGTCACACGAAGGCTGCCTATGAGGAGTATGGTCCCAGCATTTGTCGTCATAATCCCGTCTTTGGTACAATGACATAATCATAATCGTTGTCTCTGCGCAGCTGCCTGTGAAATGCTGCGTTTAATTACTTATTATTTTCGTTTTGATTTCGTTYTCTATTCTATTCTATATGCGATCACGTATTCCACGCTATAGTATTGCTTAGCCGTTAGTAATGATTTTCTATGTGTTAAGATCTAAAGTTGTCCTAAATGTTTGTATATCAGCAATACGCGTAAATCATATTTGGCCAAATGATTATTTTCTGTGTGATTCTGATTTTGAATTTAAGCTAAAAGATCTTTAAACAACAATGTCTGCCAGTTAAACTTTTTATAAGGTGCATTACTTCTACAAGATTATATGTATATGTGTAACTTTTTATAACCTACACTCACAAACACACATACACACTCGACAAACAATACAAAACRTACACACACACACCAAACGGCGCTCCATTGAATCCCGCTCTAAACACAATTATATATGAAATAGTACTTGTCATAGTAATATTTATATATTGCAATAACTGCAAACGGTTTATATTTAAAAGAGAAAAAGATGAAAACTAATATCTGTTTGTTATATTGATAAGCGTAACTGAAAAGGCATTCATTAAATCAATAAAACATTCTTTAAGCTCAAGGTGACATACTTGACAAGCTGCAATATTTTTCCCTTGTCCCAAACAGTAAAAATACCCGATGGATTTGTTCTAAAGCTTTGACAAGGAATTTAATGCAATGGATACACATGTATATAAGAAATTTGCTATAATTAAAATTTGTGACAGCTACGCCGATGCAACAGAAAGCGAAGTGTTTTTCGAAAACACTGACTCAAGAGCTCCGCTCTAGGATGCTCCAAACAGTAAGCGATGCAAATTATTAAACCCATTCGACTGGATAGAAGTGTGGTGCATTGTTGTCTTTAAGTGTCTGTGAAGGATATAATGGTTTGTTGTGTTATTAATTGACATTGACTCTAATCCACATAGTCGCTAGATCCTTCTTCTTCGTCGTCGTTGCTGCTGCTTGACTGAGCAACGGCTGTTTCTGGTGAGCGCAAATGCTCGGCAATACGGAAATTTTGTAAAAACTCGCGCATAGCGTCCATCATTAGAACCAATGATTGCTGAAGACCAGCTTCTGCGGGAGTAAATGAAGATGCATATGCAGATTTTATAGAAATAATTTTTGATCTCTAATTGACAAATATAAAAAAAGATGAAATCACATCAAAATTTAACCTTCTGCTTCGCCTTGAGCGTTGGCCTGGCGTTGCGGTGGTCCCACTATTTCGGGTGCGGCAGCGCCAGCTCCGGCAACAGCATCTGGTTGCTGTTGTGCGGCTGCAATGTTGTTTAGATTGAAAGATGGCAGCAACGACTGAAAAAACATTGATACAGAGTTGTTGGTGTTGGTTGTGGGGCTGCTGCTCGAAGACGATTTGCTGCAAGTGAAGAAAGCTTCCTTCAATGATCATTTTGAATAGTTTGGTCTTTAACTAACCGTTGGTAGCAATTGACACTGTCAAGGGGTGGCAACGGGTCGTAGGTCATGATAGCCTGTTTCTCTTTCGAAACAAACACAGCCAGAGGCACCTTCTCCTTGAAATCGGAGAGTATGACATGTCGTAAAATGGGACGCGGTGGTGTGCCGCTATAGCGAAGTGAGCGCTTTTCCTTGTAATCATTGATGATAGGATCCTTGCTGTCGATGCGATCCAAGACAGTATTTACAGTCGATTCCAGCCAAAACAGAACATCATTTTGCCGCCAAACGACCTTGGCTCGGCACACATACAAGCACACAAGCTGGTGAAGCGCTGGCGATTGACTATTGCAGAGAAAAAGAGAGTTTAGTGATTAGATTGGGACTGGTGCGCATTGATATGAATTAATCGTGACTCACTCGCCAGACACGTCGGTAAAGAAATACGATGAAGCCAGCACACGCTTATCCGTTTGCACAGACATCTCTTCCAACAGCGGACGCAGAACGCCGGGGAACATGAGCAGCGCATATTGAAGAGCCTCGTTGGCACGGTCGCACTTGCCGTGCAATGTGTAAAGCGCCAGTGCATAAGAGTATGCCATATTGGGCAGCTGGGCAAGATTCCGGGATGTATTGTACTGCTCATAGAACTCCACAAGCCAACCGAATTGTTTGCTGCGCAAGGCATAATAGTCGATGACTAGTACCATGGCCAATGGATCAACATCTGGTTGCAGACTCAGTATCAGTTTGGAGATCTCAAAGGCTGTGCGGCAACAGGCACGCTCTTCCAAGTACTGAGTGTGCTTGAAGAGCACAATAAAAAAGGCTCGATTCTCCTGTCTTCGGTAATCTAGACGACAATTTCCCGACGTCAAGCTGAAGTTGATGTGCAGAGAGGATTCCAGCAATAGAAGCGCACGCTCAATTAATTCGGACGCCAGAGCAAAGTCCTCTGTCATTTTGCAAACCTCACTCAGCTGAACCAGCGAATCGACATGGTAGGGACAGCGCTTAATTAAAGTAATCAAGAATTCGGAATCTATGCGTTCCAATGCTGACAAGAACATGTGCTGAACTCCCTGATAGTACTGACTATGCTGGAAGGTAAACCATTGCACATTTTCTTCGTCGCTCTTTTGAATTTTCGGACTAGTGGAGGAGCCTGGCGATTCGGTTGTTGGTAGAAGCTTCATAGTGATAATATTCTTGGTCAATGGCGGCCATGAGTCCCTGGCAGTTACCATATAGGTGGATTTTAGCGTGGTCTTTTGGCGACCACGTTTGTTTCTAATGGGAAAATTGTGTAATTAGATCATCTGGTTTCGCCAGTTAAGAGCCTACAAACTTACTCAACCTTGACAACGCGCCTGCCAAATGTACGTCTCATTTCGTTTTGTTGATTTAAGTGCTTGAGTTCTACCGCCAATAGTTTCTTGCTGGCCAATTTGCCACCCCCTTCAGCTCCTAATGGTGCTGTTATAGTCAGTTGTGGCGTCTTGTCCAACTGTTTGGGCACTGCATCGTACACTTTGCCAATCAATGGATCAACTTTTTCTAAATATTTGTCTTGGCGCTCGTTATCCTCACTACTGATATGATTACCATGCGATTTGACTTTCTTCTTGCGCTTCTTCTTCTTTTTCTTAGCAGCGGTACTGGCCTGTATAGCCGCAGATGGATGTTCGGTTTCGTTGTCATCCTCTTTGAATTCGCTCTCAGAGAGACTCTGCTGGTTGAGCTGTAAGTTCCATATTTTCAACGTTAGCAGCACACATTTAATATGTATGGGTACTTACCAAATCAAATGGATTTAAATGCGATTTTCCCCTGACCGTATCGAGTTCGTCATTGTCAGTTAAATGGTCGTTGTCTAATTCATCATCTGGCGGCGGTGCCAGAATATCTGAGCCGCCCTGCATCTTCTTTAGCATTCGTGCGGACATGATTTTAGTTGTCACTAAGCAAATTTACACATGTGAAAAATTATTTACAAAAAACCACAAATAAATGTCGTTTTCCTGTTCTAGTTTATTTGTTTTTGTCACGAAGACTGACGTCCCTGTCAAAAAATTTAGAATGTTAAATAAGCACAGCATCGATATTTATGTTAAGAACAGTGCACAGTCTGGCAGCTCTTCGTAACATTATCATGAACATTAACAGTAACATTAATACATTACAGCGGTCACACTCGATTCCTGCTTCTTGGCCAGTAGATGGATAAGAGGATTTGCTGAATTACCTTTCCTTTTATATTGGCAGAGTATTTTTTTTTATTTTGGAAAATCGTTTTTTGTTGTTGATTCTTACGTTATTTTTGTTACTAACTTTGTTACGTGCTACTGTCAGTCGATCGAAAATAGGGTCGAAGTGAAGTGAAATGTAGTTTGTAAACTCTCCCAGATTTTCGCGCCATTTTTTGTATGGGTAATCATTGTATACTATAAATATGGCAGCCATAAACATTGAAATCAACAACAAGGAAGCGGTTAAGCTTGAACCCGATATAATATATCGTGTTGGACGTCGGCCGGGTCTTGAATTTTCAATTGACGATGATGTGAGTTGCTTTGATTGATTTCAATGCAATCGGCATTAAAAGTTGTTTCAATTTGTAGTCCGTTGAGCTTGCGCATGCTACAATTGTTTGGGTAGCCGGCGGAATCGTGCGTTTAGCAGCTGTAAATGGCGATGTATTTGTGAATGGCCTTAAAACGGGACTGGAAATCAAGAGCATTAGCGAAGCAGATGCCATCAATGGACTCGTCGATTTGGCCTTCGGCAATGTGACGGGCAAATTGCGATTTAACGATGTCCATCGCTTGGATACCGAAGAGGTGAAGCACCATAGAAATTGAGACGCATAATAATAATGGCTTTTTCTTTTATGGACAGGCTAACGATTCCAGCGGCTTTGGAGAGGCCACCAGAGGAGATAAGTCGACTAATATAACTGATGGTAGCTTCAACATTCCCGAATCGGAGCCTCAATCAGCCAACAATACAGGAATTACAGATAGTTTCGTCATTCCTGAAACGCAGGCGTTTTGCTTGGATCGACCTGCAAAGGATAGCAAATCATCGAAGATATCATTAGGCGATGATTTTATAATACCTGAAACTCAAGATATTCTGCTCAATGCTAGTAATAATCCTATTCCAATGAATCAGGAGTTAGATATTATCAACGAGGATGATTGTTCAGAGCTCGGTACTCAAATACGCATTTGCACTCAAGATTTCAATGAATTCAATGAAGATGCCATTGACGATTTTGACGCATCGCTTATACTTGGAAATAGAGAGTTGGAGATGTTGCCACCTGCCAAGCAACCAAAGGGTAACTCCAGCTTAAATCTTATCTTATCTGTAAATAGTTGCTCAAACTATCTGCCTTTTAGATACCACTGGAGCTGATCCGGATATGAGTGCCTTGAATTGGTCTGCATCCAATTCAAAATGCACTGCATTGAACAGCACCAAGGCTGATGATTTGTCTTCCCGAGGGGATATCTGCTTAACTCCAGATTTATCTCTAGCAGAAAAAGGTTCAGGAGAGCTTCAGGATGATGCTGATTGCACTCCAGATATATTTGATGTGCTCAACGCTATTCAAAAAGGAAGTTCACCGGATTTAAATCTGCCTGCAACCGTGCTCTGCAGTCCATCGACTAAAGTCGTTGACAAACAGAAGGAACCAGTAGTTGCCAGCTTGCAGACGCCAGATTCCATTCCGACGGAGCTACTGGATAACTGCCAAGATTTCGTAGCGACGCAGGCATTTCCAGCAACAAATGTAGAGCCAAAAAGCTTTGTATCGAATACGAAAGGAAATGAGGAGGACTTTCTTGAAACGCAACCATTTCCCAAAGGATTGCCACGACGAAAATCGAGTACATCTGATGATACTTTGGAAGACTTCATTGCCACACAGGTCTTTGTCAGACCTGGAGCTCCTATGCCAAAATCGAAGGAGTTGATGGGCACACGATTGAGTATTACTGCCCAAGTCCATAGCCATAATGAGGATTTCATAGAAACTCAAGTATTTCCTACGAATAAAATCCCTTCAGATCCCAGATTGAATGCAGCCGATGATAATTTGGAGGACTATATAGCAACACAGGCGTTCATTAAGCCCCCTACAACTTTTGCAGCAACTCCTAATAAAGCAGTAGACGCAATTTTGAGTATCACTGCCAAAATAGCTGACAACACGCAAGATATGTTGGAGACTCAGTTGTTTATATCTCCCGTGTCAATCAGTGCTAGAGCTCCAGGTAAAATTGCAAATGTTAATGTTAATTTCTAATTCTTTGAAATGTTTTTCTAGCTGATAAAAAGGATGCTGACTGCCTGCAAGTTCCTAATTCAATTAAAATTGGAGATGAACTTGATAAAGACCTCAGCCAACTGATTGGCCTTTCTTCATCCGATGATGCTGAGGAAAGTATCGTTGAGCAAGGAAAAAACACTATCGAAAATGCTGGAATCAAGGTATATTCTGAAAGAGTCTCTTAGTAAATGCCTTAAGAGTCATTTCCATTTATTTAATTTATTCTTTTTCTCAGAGTCCACAATCCACAGAGCAGGAGAACCAGCGTAACTTAGAAAGCAGTCGCAAACGTTCTTCCTCTCGTTCAGAATCACCAGAAGCATCACGTATGTTTTAATAGTTTATAGTCTATTTATTTTTTCATACAAGTATTTTCTACATAGCTTGTAAAAAAATACGCACAAGACGAATCTCAAAATCTTCCGCACCATCCGAAGCAGAGGAGAGCAAACTTGCAGGGCCTACGAAAGAAAAAAGGACGCGATTGAAGCGACCTTCAATGGCTGACGAGGATACGCGTAAATATTCAAGAAATAGTTAAATACTAATTTGTATTTAAGTAATAAATTCGTATTCCCTTGCAGCTCCAAAGAAGACACGCGTTAAAAAAGATCAGCTAACTACTGAAAGTGCCTCAGATGCAAAGACTCAAAAGACTAAGGCATCTGATCAAACGGAAGTACGAGTGCGGGGCAGACCACGTGGCAGCAAGAAATCTGGACAACAGAGCAACGATGCTAAGAGTGAAGTTAAAACTGCAGAAGAAAATGGAACAACGGAAATTGAAGAAGCTGTAACTAAATCAAGAAAATCTAAGAAGGCAAATGACTCAAGTGATGATAAAGTTGTCAATCAGGATGTACTACCCGTTAGTCGACAAACAAGAAGACACTCTCAGTTAATCGACAATATTGTTGAAGAAAATGGTGAAGAAATTACCAAAGATAAAAAAGAGGAGGATATACCGATCCCAAAAAAAGAAACCCGGCGTGCAGCTAAGGGAGCCAAAAAAGACAAAGCTGGAAGTGCGCGCGCAGCTACGAGAAAATCTGATTGTGAGTTTATACGGTTTACATACATGATTATATTATAATTGTATCATATACAGCTGCCAAGCCAACATTAAAAAATGTTAAGGACACGAAAGAGGTTAATGGTGATGCATCTGACAAAGGTTTGCGGAGTAGCAGTAGGTCATCATTGGAAACTATTGAGGACGAGCCAACAACTAGCTCTAATGCCCGAAAAATGAGTATGCACAGTTTGGATCAGTTAAGATTTCATATAAATCAATTTGATTTAATTACAGATACTCGTAGAAGTAAGCAGGCTAATAGGAATCCACTAATAGGTAATATATGAATGTATTTGATAACAAACAATTTCTAATACATTTCATGTTTTTCAGAAATCAACGACTACATCAAGAAAATAAAAAGGTCGGGAAAACTTCGTTTAGCATTATCTATGTGCAATCACGCTGAGCTGACTCCGGTCTTGACGGCCTTAAAAAGTATTTTCTTAAATATCTTTGATTACAGCAAAATTTCAATATCTAATATCTCTCACTCTTTATAGATGCTATTGAAGTTACCAATGATCCAGTAGAATGTGATTTGCTCATCATGGATAGAGGAGAACGCACTTACAAGTTTTTGGTTGGAGTTGCAGGGAACAAACCCATTTTGTCCACTCAATGGCTGCATGCCATGAAGAAAACGTGTTCCATTATTGTGGAACCGGATCATATATTCAAGGACGAGAAATTTGAGGAGACTTATAAGTTTAAGCCGTTATCAGTATTTGAAAATCCCAGCTTATTGAAAGGAATCGAATTCATGCTCGGTGGGGACATCCAGCCGAGTCCCAACGATATGAAAGGTAATTGAATCTAACTTCATAATTTCAGTTGTACTAAGATTCCTCCATTTCTTCACAGCTATTATTGAAAGCGCCGGTGGAACCGTGCACGCGAAGGTCCCTTCGATTGCGAGCAATATTAAACTATATGCGATTGCTAGTAAGAAAGATAAGCACGTCTGGTCGCTTCTCAGGAACTACAAAGATGTACAATATATTACAACAGAGGGTGTCATGCAGGCGGTTGTCCAGCATAATTTGGGGCTGCTGGACGAGCACAAGCTACATTTAGTAGATATAAGTAAATAGATATAAATAGGCGTAAAATCACTCAACTAAAGTGTATAAAGCCCGTTGTCAGATTTACATTGTTATTGGCTAGCGTTTAATCCGATTATATATTTTCTGTAGTCTGTATATGTACCGATTGTATTTACCAAATTATGTTTTTGTAAAAATTGTTTGCCAGTTATGTATTTGGAGATTATATTCTAATTTGTATTTATTTTTCCACTTTACACTTTTATTTTTATTATTCCAACTTCTTCCGTTTGGAGCCCGTTGGCTTCTCGAATTGCTGCCTCATGCCGCCGGCGCGCTCGTTATGAAATTTCATGTTATTGGACGTCTCAGCATACCATGGTGAATCGAATTTTGTGGTATCCTGATCAACTAAATGCGTGTACTTGGTACGACCACAGCGTCCAAAGTTCTTCACTTGCATCACCTTGGGCAGAATGGTTTTATCAAAGTGATCTTCTAGCGTAGCCTGGGCAAAGTCTCGCTTCAGCACTTCATTCTCCTCGTCCAGATAGAACGCGCCACGATGATAGTATTTTTGCAGGAATTTATATTTGCCTTTGGTTGCTTTGTTGGTAACGAGTTTGGGATTCGACCGGAGCTCCTGGCGTCTCTCCTCTTCGGTGAGATTGCGCATACGCTCGATTTCCAGTTTTTCGTGTTCAGCGCTGCAAATTAAAATAGAAAGATTTTCAGTTAATATTTACATTCCTGACATACTATGACTAAGTAGTTAGCTTACTTTTCGCGCTCTTCTCGGTCTCGTTTCATACGTTTCAATTCGCGCAATTTCCATGCCTCGTACTCCACCTCATCGTTCTCATCGGCTGTGCACACATCGTCTATGCATGCTTCGTTGGTCTCTGGCTTGATCTTCTCCAAGTCCTTCTTTACACTCTCCTCCACCATTCGCAATGTGGCGCGTCTTCTCTCTTTTGCAGCTCGTTTGGCCTCGGCTTCCAATTGCTTTTGTTTCTGAGCTTCACGTTCCTTCTCTTGTATGGTCGCTCGATCTCGTTTGCGCACAAAGAGCGGCTTCAGACGCGGTTCGTTTTCTTCTTCGCTCTCTGTTTCTTCTTCGTATTCGGAGCTCTCCGATTCCGATGATTCCGATTGTTTCTCGTCTTCTTTTTGGAGCACTTCTTCCTCTCGCTGCTGCTGCAACATACGTGATCGCAACCTTAAGCGACGCTTCTCCAATTCAGTGTCACTTAGCTCTGAGTCCGTGTCGGACTCTGATGCCAGGGTGATCTTATTGGTAGTGCGCTCTAATCGTCGCTGCTGCTCGCCGTTTTCGTCTGCAGCAGGTTCTTCATCTTCGCTAGCGCTTTCCATTAATTCCGGCTCATGAATGTGTCTGTGACGCTCGCGGCGTTCGCGCTCCAAATCTTCAGTATCCACTGGTCGTGCACGCAGACGCCGAAGCCGTGGATCATCTATCTCTGCCTCATCCTCTTGCTCTTCTGTCTTCTCGTCTCCACTTTCTCGACGCGACAGCTCGAGTTTGTGGCGCTCCGCTTTATGTCGCTCCAAGCGCTTTCGAGTATCCACGAAGTCATCATCATCACTCTCATCCGAGCTGGAGTCAGCGCGTGCATAATCGGGTCGCTTACCAGATATATAACGCTGTACCTTAACCTTTTGCATAGAAATCTCCCCTGGAACAAGGCGAAAATATTTGTTATTTGGTTTTGCTTGCCCGAGGATTCCCGCTTAGCTTACCTTTTTCATTTCGAATAGGCACCGCACCCGCGGTGCACTGTATGCCCATCGGGGCTGCTGGAGCACTCATAATTCGCAAAAATATCAACAGATATGTTTATTTTTACAACAAATTTTATATTTTCAGCAAGATTCACAAGTTTTGTTTTTCCTTAGAGCTGTGAACGTTTGACGATACTATCGTTTGCTGGGAAACAATAACCGCACCATTTTGAGTTTAACATTTATGTTTACAGCAGTTATAATGGCGCGCACTGTTAAGTTTGAATAAAAAAGTGAATGTGACTTAGCAGTTGTTACCTGATGATCTCTGTACAATGAGTCATATAAGCTTATATCAAGTCTGCTTCTAATTGAGACAAATTCAATAATTAATGCTATTTATGTAAGACGCCGTCAATTTTTGCAATTTTAACGCCCACTTTCATTAATAGGAACAATTAACAATTGACTTTTACGCTTTCTTTTCTATATGTTTTTCTTCCAATTTTCAGGGGCGTACAGACAGCAGCCCAAAGGCCAAATGCCAACGAAAAAATTTTCAATTTTAGCGTATACATATTATATTATTAAAAAAGCTAATATTGTAGCAGTACTCATTTTCTTGGTGAAGAGTCAATCAATAAAAATGCACTTTAAAATACACTCTGCCACATAAATCCCATCAAGCTAATCCTAATTTTATCAATATGCGTCGCTCTTTTAATTATTGCTAAAATTATTGCACATGGGGCGTACATGTGCAAAAGTGAAACCCTTGTGACAATTACTACATTTAAATAAAAATTTATTGCTATGTACACGATTTCTGCTTCTTTTATTTCGTTTTGATGTGACAAATGGTTTCAATTCCAATTTCTAATACATTTCAATTAATATTAAACACTTTAGCAACATTTTGCAAGAAGAGCGAAAAGAACATAAAAATAATTGTAAACAAATAATTTTCTATTAACATGAACACAAGCCCATTGCTGCCGCTTGCTTGCTGTAAATCGGTACCAGATCGAACTCGTTATCGTTATCCAAACATCAGACACCAAATATATGTATATGCCTGTCTATGCATAACCACGAGACGTAAGATATCCCCCTCGCACCAATTGAGATAAAAATCGTGTAGACATATGGTCAAATATTAATTGCTGCAATTTTTTTCCTTTGTCAGTTTTTTGTACTCACAAAAGAGCGTTAGTGGTGGGGTTCAATCTCAAAGTCGTATAATGAAACGGCGTTAAACCGTTTTGCGTAAAACGCTCTCTGATTTATACTCTAATAGGGAGTCTTAGTAGGAGGAGGAGAAGGCGGAGGAGGAGGAGAAGGCGGAGGAGGAGGAGAAGGCGGCACCTTCGATTCAATTGCTGATGAAGTTTCCGCTTCAAAGAAGCTGTCTCCAGTATATTCCGCAAATCCCTTTTGCATGTCCATATTAGAATTGCCTTTTCAACACGCAAATATCAACAAGAGAGAGTTGACAAGTCGGGCTCGGGTGTGTATGAATAATTATATATGAATATAACAAATAACCGTAATCATGTGCTGAGTTGCTGTTGTCTAACTGAGACACAGGGAGAATGTGGCAGCTACTCTTTTTCTCTATCTCCCAAACCTTGTAAATTGTAAACCATTTTATACCTATCAAAGTTTAAAATGATATAGATAACGAGTATGATTCAAGTTCTTGATGCGTAGGAGATATACTCAAATGACTCGAGTTTGATAGCAACTTTAATCTATTGAAGTGGAAAAGTTGGAACTGGGGGTGCTATAGAAAAAAATGATATGAAATCATGTCTTTATCTTAATAGGTTTCGAGACGATGTATAGACAGATAAATGAACAATGTGACAGACGGACAGATGGAACTAGATTGATTTGACTTTTGCTTCTGGTCAATAATATATATACTGTTACAAACACTTAAAAAAAAAAAATAAACATTTTCTCTATTCACGCAATTTTTATGGGTGTATAGAAAATAGAGATATACATATTGAATATCTGCTCACAATATTATAATAAAAATATAAAAAATAATGTACACTACATTATTAAGAAAGTTCTTAAATTGCATTTGTTAATAAAAAAAAAAGTTTTTTTGTTTTGTTTTTTTTTTTTTCAACTTAGTGGCACAATCCCAAGTTTATAAGTGGAAAATATAAAAATTACAAAATGCATTTATTTATTATGAATTGCTTCAAGATATCAATTAAGGCTTCAGCCAGGTCTGCGTCGAGTGCGCTGCTCCCAAACTCTCTCTTTCTCTCTCTCTTTTTCTGATCTTTTTGCCAATTGTTGGACAGACTCTCTATTGCTCTCTTTTTAGGGCTTTTGCAATACTCTCTCTCTCTCTCTTTCTCTCTTGCCTCTTGTCCAAGAAACTGAGGCACTGAGCGATTTGGCGTCGCATCGATCGGCTGCTGGCCATATAAAAGCCCCTAACGATCCGCTGACAAAGTCATTCATTTGAAAACATTCAATTCGTTCGAGCTACGAGAAATACGAGAACTACGACAAACAACAATCACAATTTGTGTATTCAAATAGGCAACAAGGATTAAGTTCAATTCACAAGAAAAAATAATAAACAAATACTTTGTGACTTTGAAATTCTAGTGCTCAGTGCTTTTTTTGTACTTAAAGGAAAGTTGTAAAGCCGCGAATATAATATTAATGAAATATAAAAACAATCGCGGCTTTATTTTGCAAATACAATTCAGAACATTTTTAACTTAGTTTGTGCATAAAAAGAAACAACAGCGCCGTTTTTGAAAGGATTTTACGCCAAAGGATTAAATAATTTTATATAGTTGTGAGTAAAAAAAAATAATTGAATTTTTTATATTATTTTGAATTTAGTAAACAAATTAATTAATTGATATTAAAGTTTAATTGAGCTGCACATGCAAAGCTAATTAATAAACAATAGAGCAAATAGACAAAAGACTGGATAAAACATTTCTGATAGTCATAAAAATTATATAATTATATTACCAAATGTAAATATGAAATTAAATAAAAATGTAAACAACTTTAATGAAATATTAAGTATAAATGTTTAATAATAAAAGAAATAACAACATAATATTGCTCAATGTAAAAAATCTCTAAATCAATAAATAGATATTAGGGTTCGGGTCTCACTGTAATGGTGGCTAACAATTTGATTATCTCAGCACTTTAAATATGATTTATAGAGTTTTCTCAAACTCTCTGAAAGTCTAATAGATACATTTTTTTAAGCTTGCTAAATTCTGTGAGAGAGCTGTCTATGCATAATCATGATATATTTATCTACAATTTGCATATATGTCTATATCTTCAAAAACTCTCCTTTCTTTATTTAAATCTGTAGTTTGGTTAACGTCGTAAATTGTGAAAAATATGATAATTGCTGATTTGCATTGGCAAATGGGCGTAAACCATAAATCTTATTTTGTAAACTTTCTAGTGAATCGTTTCAATAATTTGTATTCGTACGACGGATGAGCACTACTCCCATCAATATACCTTTTTCAATTGGAGCACATATAGTATATATAGTGGAACAAAATATATATATTTTTCGAAGAACTCATTTTTCACAATTTATAATTAGCATGACTGTAACTGTGTAAATTGTTAATAAATACTTCCAAACTATTATGAAACTAGAAGAGAGAATAAAATTGTGAATGGGTTAAAAATGAAGCAGAGAATCATTATATAAATTATAATCATACCGTTAAAAATGAAATATGTTAATGCAAATATTTACAGTTACAGTTATATACATTAATTGGACATCTGTCTTAGTATAGTAACTCATTCTGTCAGACGATATCTACAGAGTTTGTTTTCGCAATACTCGTAAATTGTAAACAGTTTATAAAAAGTTTTTTTTTTTTTTTTTGTGCACATAACAGCAACAGCAAATTTTAAATGTCAAATGGAATTGCGTACAGCTCGTGTGCAGCTTGCAGCTTTCCTCTTCGCTACTTTTATTATGAAATCATATATATCTGATATTATTGTTCTCAATAATGGACACACATCGTGATAGGCGCAGAGCGAAATGCTGTCCCAAGATACGCGCATATTAATTGAGCTTCATTTCACACAGATCGCAAACGGAAGGCGATGCTGAAGATGCTGAAGAGATGAAAGAGATCGATTAACACGGTGTGTGTGTGTGAGAGAGAGAGAGAGAGAGAGAGCGAGGGAGAGGTGAGGAGGGGAAGAGAGGGAGCGTGACAGGGAGAGAGGCTAAAGAAAATGCGATATAAGATGAAGGACCGATAAAGACATATTGAGAGAGTGTTAGTGAGAGGGAGAGAGCTGCTGCTCCGTTAAAGAATCTCTTTCCGTCTCGGCTGCCTGCCCGATCTACCCCAATTCTCTGTCTCTTTGGACTTCGTCTGGGAAAGTGTCGCTTGCTTGCGCCTGTTTCTTGGGCCCAGTCTCAGTTTCTAGCCAAAACTGGCACGAGCCGATATTTCCGATATAAACCAGTTAAGTTTGCTTAAAGCTCATTGAATCGCGTGCATGTTTCTCACTTGTGCCTATGGGCCAGGAGTTGCCTTTCATATATTGAATATTAATATTTATTTGTATTTTTATGAGTCAGTTAATAGAAGGAATTCAATTTATGATCAAATATCTATGACTACATTTCACAAAATAAAAAATGTTGTATAAAAATGCTTTATTTTATTAAATTACTAATTTAGTTTTAATTAATACTACGAGGTTGTAATTTCTTTCATTTAATAAATAAA